TCAACCAGTCATAAGTCGAGGACTACTCAACTGGTGCAGCACCGTTTGCAGAATGGGACTTTTGGCGGGCTCAGCAGGGCAGAGACAGCCTGGACAATTCCTATTGGCTTTTGAAAGCCAATAGAATTAGACTCTATTCAAGAGAGTCTATTCTATGGCTTTCAAAAGCCAATAGAATAAAAGGGAGTAGCACAGCTAAGGAAAAGGGGGAAAAAAATGGCGGACTGCATTGTTTGGCGACCCCTGTGAAATGGTCGTTCGACCCCAAATGGGGTCCCGACCCACAGGTTGAGAACCACTGTTTTAGTGCCTTCCTTTCACGTAAAATATAAATGATACAGAAGTGGATGCTTTTTAATGATTGTATTTTAAATATTTCTAGAAATTTTTTTTCCCCACAGAAAATCCTAAGTAATGTTTGTTGTCTGTTCTACAGTATAATTTTAAAGTATTCTGCAAGGTTTTCTCATCTGCAGATCAAATATTTCAATTATTTTTTTTTGCATTTGGTCGTCTTCCAGACTTTTTGAACTTTGTGTAGCTTATTTTCTAGAACAATTTGAGTCATACAGCGTACTTCTTTGTTTCATTCCTTGCTAACACTTTTGTCAAATGAGAGAGCAAGGTAGATCCTACTTGCTCAATACCGGCCCGCAGTTCGTAACTGAATCTTCTTAGTGTAAGTCAAACCACTGTGCTTATCAAATCACATCATCCTGGTTCTCAGTTTTGTATAATGTACCTCCTTCAAGTCATGGAAGAAGAAGATCTCTATCTGGCTTTCCAAAGTGAGAATGGATTTTCCTGTGACATATGAAAAAAGATAAAAGAATTCTGGGTCCGTTGACAGATCTGAGACCTCTGATAACTGCCATGCCCTGCATTTTGGGAATAGGGACTGGTAAGTGCATGATAGCTGGGTTGGTTGGTGTCAGGGAATTGCACAGCCAGTGCCCAAATTAAGTCAGAGTCGCTGACACAAACTTGTATAAATAAATATATTTAATATCTATATTTACAGCAAGCAAGATAGTCGGGCACATCACTACATCATGAGGTAAATCATCAGAAAAAGGGAAACTTCCCCCTTTACATTCAGCAGCCAATCATAATGTAGATTACCTCATGCAGGAGCCTGCACTCTACAACCAATCAACTACAACTGTGTATTCTGGCCTTAGGCACTTTACTGTTCCAGCTTTTAAATTAAAAAATCTTAACAGTTGGGCTCCAAACAGGCTTGAATTGTTGGAATAAAATGTCGCATGGAGTGTTTCTGTTTGGAAATCTATCTAGCCAATCTTGCTTCTGCTTATTCCATTTCAACTTCTCCCCTCAGGACGGTGCTATAGGGCAGTGGTGGCGAACCTATGGCACGCGTGCCAGAGGCGGCATCCAGAGATGGCAACTGTCTCTCTTCAACCAATTGCCCACTAACTCAATGAGGTCCCACATGGCTGGATGCATCCCAGTACCCATGCGCTCACTGGCCTCTGTGTGCAGGGGCTGATGGTGTCAGGCAGCAGTTGCCCCGGCCCCTGCCTCACCTTGCCCTGTGACAATGGCACCCCCGTCCTGCCTCACCTTGCTTCGCTTCACCCCGCAGGACGAGCCTCCTGCCCACTGCCCCACCTGCCAGAAACCCCCTGGATCTCTCCCAACCCTGTCTGGCCCCACAGGCGTCCCTCCCCACAAGCAACATCGAGGTGATCACGCCCACCTTGGCCATACCCACCCAATCTGCCATGACCACCACAACCACGCCCACCCAGTGGGCCACACCCACCTGGCACCCAGCGATAAATAACTGGGTTTTGGGTTGCAGTTGGGCACTCAGTCTCTAAAAGGTTCGCCACCACTGCTATAGGGCATTGCATGCCAAAACAACTAGACACAAAGATAAGTTTCTTCCCCCATGCCATCACTCTGCTAAACACAGTACTGTCTTCTGCCGAAAGATGAATAGGCTGTCTTGCTATTATCCTTATCATCTTTTCATCTTCCTCACCTCTCATCTTTCCTACTACCTTCTCCTATTGGTATATTACGTGATCAATTATTGTTGTATCTTATGATTTATGATTGTATCTTACAATTTATGATCTATGACTATCCCTTTGCAAGTACACTGAAAGCTTAGGCACGGGGGACAAATTCCTTGTGTGTCCAATCACATTTGGCCAATAAAGAATTCTATTCTTTCCAATTTTTGAGTTTTTCTCAAATTCCATGTCTTGTCTTCAACAGGCATGTCAAGCTGCTAGCCCACGGGCCGGATGCATCACACCAAAACCGCGCCCACCCCATTGCCGACAAAGGGGAAAAAGTCGCGATATGTCACACGATGTCATGTGACATCATGAGTTTGACATGCCTGGTCTACAAGCATTGAATTGCTCTGAAACTCTCCGCCTTCATTTTTATACCTTTCATTTGCCATAAAGATTTGTCAAATGTTGCTGAAATCCAAGTATACTATCTGACCAGCATTTTGCTGATCTAGTAATTTAATTGCTTAAACTGAAAACAGGCAAGATTTGTTTGTTGTGATTTGTTTCTAACAAACCCATACTGGCTTCTTCTAGTAATCACATGCCTTGTTTATAGGTGCTCTCAAATTCTCTGCTTGATTATATAGTTTATATTTTTATATTATATTTATATTTTTCCCAGGATTTTCCAGGTATTACTGTCAAACTGATTGGTCTATAATTTCGTGGATCCATTTTCCCCCTTAATTGTTGTTTGGAATCACATCAGCTCTTTTCCAGTCCTCTGGTATTTCTCCTGTGTTACATAAGCTTTCAAAGATTACATTCAGTGGCTCCAAAATTACATCATCTACAATTCTAGGCAATACTATAATACAGATTTAGACACTACAATAAAATGAGTCAGATAGAAAGATAGTGTCTTCTACCTAGATCTGGTTTGGAAGCAATGTGGGTGGGCACTTTAAGATTTTGTCCCATATTCCATTATTCTATTAATAGGATGAAGTTGGCAGTTGTTCGGTGCTGCATACACAAACAAGAACTTCATGAACAGTGCAGCATCAGGCTCAATTTGTGAAGCTAAGTAGAGTCAAGCTTCACTATTACAGCTTAACTCATTTGCAGAGGCAGGCTTTGAGGAGTTATCCTGCACCCACACCCCAATAGAGGAAAAACTGGCTGAACAATCTTCACCAGCCCCAAAGGAGGTGCCCTTTCTCGTTGCCTGCACGTCATTCCCCCCAAAGGCACTTTCCTTTGGTTTAGTGCAGGAGTAGGGAATCTTGGCTCTTTTATGACTTGTGGACTTCAACTCCCAGAATTCCTGAACCAGCATGGCTGGCTGGGAGTTGAAGTCCACAAGTCATAAAAGAGCCAAGGTTCCCTACTCCTGATTTAGTGGCTGCTTATTGCAAACGAGGCTTCAGGCTCAGCTACAGAGGCCATGAGTGCACCCTTGGGGGACCTGGAAAAAAAGCTGTGGGATAATCGGGTTCTCAACCTTGGCAACTTTAAGACTTGTGGACTTCAACTCCCAGAATTCCTCAGAAGTCCACAAGTCTTAAAGTTGCCAAGGTTGAGAACCCCTGGGGTAGATTATCATGGACGAAAGCTATCGATGTGCTCGGTGGGAGTCGAATACCACTTGATGGCACGTAAGGAAGCTCGGAATCAATGAGAACATCTTGCAAAAGCCTTACGGTAGAAATAGATCCAGAGTGCCTTGCGTCGCTAGATGGCGCTCTACAAGGAAGCAACCTAGAAAGCAGTGAATACAATACAGAAGCGGCATCGCTAGTCTGACATTGTACCAGAGGGGTAGAGGCTGTGCTGGAACGAGATGAAAAGATAGAGTATTAGATTGATAGAGAGGATGTAGAGGAGAGCAGAACAGAGGAACTTCCTCTTCCGGCTCACCCAGGGGACGATGATGGCGTCGCGGTTGTCTCTTTCGCTCTTTCAGGGGACGAAGAGGCTCCTGGAAGGTGAGTGGAGGGCAGGTCGGAGGAGAAACCGGGAGCAAGTCGGGCTCTTTGTTTTCCTCCACGGTGTGGAAGCAGTGAAGGGACAGGGCTGAAAGATGCCGGCTGCTGCAGTATATTCTTTCTCTTCCCAAATTTTATTCCTTTGGGGCTGCACGATTTAAAACTGCTGCCTGTAATTTTATGCTGCGAGAGGGGAAATTTAAAAAGTCTTTATTTCTGTTTCATATTCCCTAACCGCTTATCTCCATCAGCCTTTACGTAACACCTCATTCCTTGAGATGTTATCGACGTGCTGTTTTCCTGGGAAGTGTGGAGTTTCATGGGCAGAAGGGATGCTTTAAATGTGCAGAGGCTTTGGGCATCATTTCATCTGTTAGCGACCTCACCTTTTTAAAATTAGATCAAAAAATCGGAGCGAATCCACTTCTGTGACTCATTGTATGAAGCTGTGTATTTCTGTGTGCATCTGTATAATCTAATCTTCAGCATTTTCAGGAATATTTTATAATAACAATTTGCAATGCTAATAATTTGTGACTTACCTAAGCCAAAAAGAGAATTTCATGGTTGGATATATGAATGGATATTTGAACTTGGATCTTGCTAGTTCTCTATATGCCAAATAAATTGTAATTAATGTTAGAGGGTAAACTAGCATTTTGATATGTTTGCTTATTCGTGGTAATACATGCAGGTTTTTTTTCTGTTTTCCCAGGTTGTCCAGCCATTTTTGTAAACCACAATGAAACTAATCCATTAATATGAAACTATAGACATAGGATGCCAAGAAGAGCACGCTGGATTTCAAAGGGACTTGATTCAAAGCAACACCAGTTAGAGATTAGAAATATTTTTGATCTCCTCAAGAATCTAAGATTATCAGTGATGGAAAAACCCCACAGTCTGTTTATTGTGGAAAAAATATAGATTGCAGATCACAGCTGATTATGCACGAGAGAATCCAAACCACAAAAAATGCACACAAATGCTCAGAATGTGGCAAACACTTTATTCAGAACAGCTTCCTCATGGAAGGACCCACACTGGAGAGAAACTCTACCAGTGCTCCCAGTGTGGCAAAAGGTTTAGCACACAGACCAATCTGGTGAGACACAAGAGGACTCACACTGGGGAGAAACCCTTTGATTGTCCTGATTGTGGAAAAAGTTTCAGCCAGAATTCTGACCTGGTGATCCACCAAAGGACTCACACGGGAGAAAAACCATATAAGTGTCCAGAGTGTGGGAAAAGTTTCACTAAGAATTTCAATCTGGTGATACACCAGAGGACTCACACAGGAGATAAACCGTATGAATGTCTGTATTGTGGGAAAAGATTCAGTCAGAATGCCAACCTGGTAATACACCAAAGGACTCACACAGGAGAAAAACCATATGAGTGTCTGTATTGTGGAAAAAGTTTCAGTCAGAATGCCAACCTTGTAATGCACCACAGGACTCATACAGGGGAGAGGCCATTTGAGTGTCCGGATTGTGGCAAAAGTTTTCAGCAGAATTCCAAGCTGGTGATACACCAGAGAACTCACACAGGTGAGAAACCGTATGAATGTCTGGAATGTGGGAAAAGTTTCAAGGAAAATTCCAGCCTACTGTTACATCAGAGGACTCACACAGGAGAAAAACCATATGAATGTCCAGATTGTGGAAAAGCTTTTAGTAGGAATTCCAACCTGCTGATACACCAGAAGACTCATACCGGAGATAAACCATATGAGTGTCCAGATTGTGGGAAAGGTTTCAATTGGAATTCAGACCTGGTGATACACCAGAGGATTCACACAGGAGAAAAACCATATGAGTGCCTGGATTGTGGAAAAAGTTTCAGTCGGAATTCTCACCTGGTAGAACACCAGAGAACTCACACAGGAGAAAAACCATATGAGTGTCCTGATTGTGGGAAAAGTTTCTTTCGCAATTCTAACCTGGTGGTACATCAGAGAACTCACACAGGAGACAAACCATTTCAGTGTCTAGAATGTGGTAAGAGTTTCCATTGGAATTCTGCTCTGGTGATACACCAGAGAACTCACACAGGAGAAAAACCATATGAGTGTCTGGAGTGTGGGAAAAGTTTCATTCGGAATTCCGACTTGGTGATACACTGGAGGACTCACACCGGAGAGAAACCATATGAGTGTCCAGATTGTGGGAAAGATTTCAGCACTCAGTCTAGCCTTATAAACCATGTAAGGTTACACATAGGGGAGAAACCATTCAAGTGCCCAGATTGCGGACAATGCTTCACACAAAATTCCTCCTTTATCACACATAAGAAATTCCACATGAGACAAAATTTGACGTGTATAGAGGAATCTTGAATTTCATTTCTTATCTCTCATTGCAAGCTCAACTGGGAAATTAACTATTTTAATTTCTTGCCTGATTGTTTTTAATCAAACATGTCTTAATATGTCTTAATAAGATCTGAATTGAGAAGTCCAAGCTCTTTCTGAGCTTTCTTGCCTCTTGCGCAAGTGGAGATGCATGCGCAATGTGCACACTTCCCTGCCACTTGCACGGCCCAGTGGTTGGGGACCCCTGTCCTAGGGTCAGGATTTTGCCCCCCATTGTAGTAAGTCAAGGATTATCTGTATTAGATGAACAAAAGTGGAATGTCTCAATTTTAACCACAATGGAGGAATGGTTGTTGAAGATGACGGAATTTTCTGCGAAACTATATTGACTTCCTCAACCAGAAAAAAGACATTCTCTATATTCATTACTGATTAGAAGTTTGTTAGAGATTTGCGTGAAACAGGAAAAAAATGAAGTTATTATTTACAGTTGTGATTATAAAAAATAAACCAGGTAGAAAAAAGAGTTTTTAATCATAGAGTAAGACCTAATTTTGTATTTCTAATTATAATTACTGTAAAGGAGATTGGAAGTAACTTCTCTCTTATCTTTTTCTTTTTGCACTTTTGATTTCTTTTTTCTTCTATTTAGTGTGTTCTTGCTTTTAATCTTCTCTTTAAAATTAATAAAAATTATATTTTAAAAATCCAGCGTAAAAGTCAAGGACACTGGATGGAAAGCCACGAGTTCCAGTGCTAGGTTAAACAGGAAGGTAGCTGCCAGGTGCCATGAAATCCTAATTTAAGATGTCAAATGAGAGGCTGAAAGTATCTCTGCAGGTCAAAGTTCAAAATGAGAATATGGCCTCCAGGAAGTGCTTTGTATTCTGTCTTGAGTTCCTGAACAAAAAGGGAATCAATAAAATTTATTCATTTTAATTTATTAAATGTATATGCCTTCTCTCTGATTATTACAAGGTCATAAATAGCAGTATAAAATTATACGGTTAAAAAGAGCAAAACATGGGCGCATATGTTGGAGTTATTTGATTCCAGATTTCTCCATGCAACAGAGCTCAGAGCCAGTAGCTAAAATGGCCAATATTTCCACCCATTAAAATGGCAGATTAGGGTGTCCCTCTGAAAAGGTCAGCCTGGTGATTAATTGGCCATGTGCTTTGGTAGGATATTCTATTTTTGCTTTTTGATTTCGTTTCATTATTATTTTCACAGAACATTTTTTTCCTGGACGTTCTAAGTAGCCATGCAAATTCATTCCCGCCGTCTTAGTTCTTTCCCTCAATATTTATCAGTTTCCTATTTGTGGATATTGCTTGCTCTAATGCAGACATGTCAAACACAAGGCCCGGGGGCCGGATGCGGCCCGCAAAGTGGTTTCATGTGCCCTGCGAAGCCATCTTGGAAATGGAACGGCCCCCGCTGCCCTGGCCCAGGCCCGCTGGAAGCCAATGTACAATTTTGTGGTGGCTATCTATGCTGAAACGCATTCAGTCTTAGCTTCACAAGCCTGTCTGAAAACAGCGAGGAACCAGCTCCTGCCGCATCGGCCCCGCCCCCTGGGTGCATGCTGGGGAGGTGTCACCCTTTGTGAGAAATGAAGAAATGCACCATTGCCTGGAAATGGCCAGCAAATGGCTCTCGCCTTCTTCACATATCCGGCTTGATGGGCCAGGGAGGGTTTTCGGCAGGCAGTGGGGTGCTCTCCTCACAGCGCCGAGAGGCTGAGCCAGGCAGGGCAAATCCCAAAAGAAGCACAATGCCGCCTAGCCCCCAGCCTGCCCAGTTTCAGCAGACAGCGGACACTCACCTCACAGTGCCAAGAGCTGGGCCAGGTGGCGCGAAAGTGATGAGAAATGCAATGTTGCCTAGCCCCCAGCCTGCCCAGTTTCAGCAGGCAGCAAGGTGCAAAGCTGGCAAGTTTCGCACCACCCAGCTCAACCTCTCGGCACTGTAAGGAGAGTGCCCTGCTGCCTGCTGAAACCAGGCAGGCTGGGGGCTGGGCAGCATCGCGCTTTTTGGATTTGCGCCACCTGGTTCAGCTTCTCATTGCTGTGAGAGCGCCTCGCTGCCTGCCAAGACCGCATGGCATTGCGCATGGCCTGAGAAGAACGGTGAGGCTCCTCCACTGGACCATGCCTTGGCACTTGCCCTGGTCTCACCCCCTTCTGCCAGAGACCCTCAGATATGTCCCACTTTTGCCCAGGCCCCCACAGGCACCCTTGATGCAAACGATGTAGAGCTGGCTATGCCCATCCAATAGGCCACACCCACCCTGGCCACACATACTCTGGCCACACACATCCGCCCCCCCCCCGAGGGCAACCACAATGCTGATGCGGCCCTCAATGAAATTTTTTGACACCCCTGCTCTAGTGTCACATGCTCTGGGGAATGGATGATGTCATTTCATTACAAGACTGCAGTCATAACTTTTCTATTAGAAGATACAGATACATAAGCCTTGTTCAAGCACCATCAGTACCTTGCTCTTATCCTGTTCTTGAGTTTTGAGTTTCTCCCCATATTTGTACTGTTAAGCTACATCAATTCTATTCAGAATACACTCTGCATGTATTTCCTTTTGTGATTACATTAAAAGCTTTTTTTCTGTAAGTTTCAAGAGGACAGAGTAAAATTAAAATGGGAAAGTAAAAGCTGCTGATACAAATAGGGTTCACAGTAGGGGTAAAGAAACACAATAGAGTTTTAACACATTATTGTTAACTGATAAGGTATTTCTTATCTGACCCTGATTTCCCCTTTCATTTCCCCCCCCCCGTTTAAATCCTACTTTTAAAAAAAAATTATTTGTATCTCTTCTTTATTATTTCTACTTCAATTTAACCACTCTAAAGATCCTCAAAAACTTATATTTTAAAATTATTTATTTAAAAATGAAATTTCTATAGCCCCCCCCCCCCTCAAAAGCAATTGTGGGTGATGTATAACAATCAGATAACAATGACATATATAAAATGTAAAAATCTATACTAAGAATTAATATAAAAACAAAACCCTAGGCCAGGGGTAGGCAACCTCGGCTCTTTTATGACTCATGGACGTCAACTCCCAGAATTCCCGAGTCAGCTATTCCCGAGTCAGCTATGAGTCATAAAAGAGCCGAGGTTGCCTACCCCTGCCCTAGGCAATAAAATGGATGCAAATGGGCCACCTCAGCAATGGAGCCATCTGAGCATCTCTCAGATTGCCTTAGAGCAGTGGTTCTCAACCTTTCTAATGCCGCGACCCCATAATACAGTTCCCCATGTTGTGGTGACCCCCAACCACTTATACATCACCGGGTGCCAGGGGCGTGGCCAAAGAAAAGGGGGAAAAAATGACGGACAGTCTTGTTTGGTGACCCCCGTGAAATGGTCGTTCGACCCCAAATGCGGTCCCGACCCACAGGTTGAGAACCACTGCCTTAGAGCCCCAAGCCTGAGGATGTAACCAGGCCTTGACAGCCTTCCAGAAGGTCAAAAGGGGTGGAACTAGTCTCATTTCAGGGGAAAGGACATTCCGTATGGTGGAGGCCACAGCAGAGAAGGCACGTCTCCTGGGACCCACCAAATTCAGATTCTCAGCTGATGGTGCCTGCAGCATGTCTTCTTTGCCAGGTCTAATTGGGCAGGCTGAAATAAGCAAGGAAAGGCGATCCTTCATCTCAGTCCCATGCCAGGAACGGCTTTCAAAGTCAAAATCGGCATCTTGAATTGGGCCACTGACTGGCTCTCAAATGAATCAGTAATAACAGTTTTAGGATGTATGCTGGCTGTGGAATTCTGGGAGTTGAAGTCCACATGCCTTAAAATTGTCAAGGTTGAGAAACACTGACGTAGAGAGTTTTGATCTCCGGTAACAGCCAACCCATGCCAAAGTGCAAGAATATTTAAATCAGCTTCCAATCTGGAAACTAGTGCCCTCCAACTGTTTTTGCCCACGCAGCGTGGGAATTCCCAAGGCCGAAAATGTAGTGCTCTGGAAATTTGGAAGGATGCTCTAGTGAGATTTGTATTCCCCAACTATCCAGAGAGGATTATAATATCTCCTATCTAGATGTCACGTTGGAAACAACGTGAGTAGACCGCTTCTCATCCAAGAAGCAAAAGGTCTTCAAAGAAAAACAAGAAAGTCTAGTTGCCTGCTGAAAAAGAACCTTTGGAACAACCATAACTGGGTGACTGAGAATCTCCATAAACCCGGGTGGACACTTCCAGGTTTTGTACTGTTATGTGCTCCTGGCTACTTTCCTTCGTGACCAGAGGCAAGCTCGCCTGACCAATAACCAGCCAAGACACAGTGAAGGCCTTTTGTTTCGTTTATTGCAATAAGCGGGGAGAGAAGCTATCAAAGCTTGGTTCTCTCCAAAGTTTTAACCCAAAATATTTCCTTCTTTTATTCATCCCTATCACCGGCCGCTACAGCCTTCCTCTTTCCCCATTGGCTGAGGTACTATGAGGTTACCCTCTTTCTGACTGCCTATACACATTTCCTGATAACATATTAAATCATATTCACATATACAATAAGAAAAATTAGACATTTAAATGGTTATTTTAAACTCAGTAAATATTTATGTCCCCATTTTAAACAATAAGTTGTTTTCCTGCTTTTCAATTCAGTTTGCCTTTCCTCTTATCTTATTCAGCTTATTTTCCTATTCTCCAACCTGTCTTTTCCTGGCTAGCCATTTCCTATATATTTTTATGGCTTCTCTTCTTCCTTTCTCAGACCCAGCTATTTTTGCCTATATGGTTTATCTTACTTACTTTATGTTATCTCTTCCTGACTCTCACCATTTGTATTTTATATTCAATTAATTTCCATTGTATTGTAGGTTTAATTGACTCTGAAGATTTATCATATTGATGCATATTTATCAGTACCACATCATTCTATTAATAAGATGAAGATGGCAAGCTATTAATCTTTTAAGGGCTGCACACAAAAACAAGAACTTCATTAACTTATAGGACCCAGCAAGCAGCTGGCTGATCTTGGGATGCTAGGTAGCTAGATGGCGCTCTATGGTTAGGCAACAAGCGCGCCTGGAAAGTCGCAAATAGCGTCAATAGCAACGCCTGTAGCTGAACTGAAAGGAATTGAATTGCTGGAGACTATGTGGAGGAGAGAAGCGCAGAGCAATTTCCTCTTCCGGCTTCCTAATTAGAGGATAGCGGTGCCTCTCGCGCTCTTCCCAGGTTCGAAGGTGAGTTGAGGACAGGTCGGGGGAGGGACCGGGAGCAAGTAGGGCTGGGTGGTTTCCTCCACGTTTTATCCAGCAGCAGATCAACATTGAAATACATTTTGGGGAGAACCCCCTGCAGATGGTTTGGCAAGAGTTGGTACCTTCCAACGACTCTCTGGCTCTCTGCCTGACTATTTTTATTTATTTTGACTGATGAAGTTAATCTGAAGGTTCTCAGGTTAACAAACTTTGGTCCAGTTGCCATGATTTAACCTTTTAAAGATATTTTTGGCCTGCATGATTGAGTTTTCATTGACATATGCTGAAATATGCCGTCTGCTTCATATTCCTCCCCTCCGTTTCCCAGTTTTATTCCATTGGTGCTGCATGCTTTAAGCTGCTTGCAATTTTATGTTGAGTGGGAGGTTTAAAAAGGCTACTTCACCTTTGACTCCTTGTGCTTTTTATCAGTGTGTTGTTTTCTTGGCAAGTGAGGCAATTCATAGGCAAAATAACAATAGCACTTAGAGATTTATATACTGCTTCATAATGCTTTACAGCCCTCTCTGAGTGGTTGACGGACTCAGCATATTGCATCCAATAATCTGGGTCCTCATTTTACTGACTTCAGATGGATGGAAGGCTGAGTCAACCTTGAGTGGATCAAAAAGAACCCTTGACAGCAGTGAATTAGTCTGTAATCCTGCATTCTAACCTCTGAGCCACCAGGGCTTAAAACTGGTGTTTTAAATCTTGCGGAGGCTTTGGACACCATTTCCTCTGTTAATGCCTGCATATGCTTTGCAACCATTTCTGAGACATTTTGCAGACTGAAAAAACATGGATTTTCTACATACATACATGCATGCATAGGGGCATGTTTCTGTATTTCTTTCACATATATGTGTATCTATATAATCTATTCTCAGTATTTCCTGGTACATATGATAACAATTTGCAATGCTAGCATTTTGTAATTTACCCAAGTTAGCAAGAGAATTTCACAATTGTGTGGATATTTGAACTTGGATCTGGCTTTGTGTCATAATGCATGTTAGCGGTTAATCTGTTAATGTCATTTTGGCATGTTTGTTTTTTCATTGCAATATATGCTTTTTCTTGTTTGCACATCTTGTGCAACCATTTTATAAGCAGTAATTAAAGTAACCCTTTTATGTGAATCCTATAGACAAAGAAAATGTTAAGAAGAGCCTTCTGGACAGCAGAGAATCAGAAGCAGGACTAAAAAGGGAAGCAAATCCTTTCTATCCGATAATCAACATCTTTTCCTTTCCCTCCCAAAAGCCACAAAACTCTTCTTCCCCATCAAGCGAGCAACAAGTGAGAAAAAAAAATAGGAAAATGTTTTGAGCTGGAAAAAAATATTGTATCTGGAACTCAAGGAAACACTACATGAAAAGATAAAAGGAGGAACATTTTCAAAGTCAAAAAAAGAGGCAATAAGTCTGTGGGGAGGAATCAGTCATTCCAGAAAGCAATGCAGGCCCCATCCTGTGAAGAAAGAAGCAGCTTGGATCAAAGCACCATCCAAGAAAGGATCACAAATATTTTTGACCTCCTTAAGAATCCAAGTTTATCAGTGGTGGAAAACCTTCACAGATGTACATATTCTGGAAAAAACACAGATTGCAATTCACAGCTGATTATGCATGAGAGGACCCACACTGGTGAAAAACCGTACCAATGTTCTGAATGCAGCAGAGTCTTTTGCTACAGCTCCCAACTTTTTGAGCATAAAAGAATCCATAATGGAGAAAAGCCTTATCAGTGCCCACAGTGTAGCAAAAAGTTCAGTAAGCATGCCACACTGGTGATACACCAGCGGACACACACCGGAGAGAAACCATTTGAGTGTCCAGAATGCGGGAAAAGTTTCAATCAGAATTCCAACCTGGTGATACACCAGAGGACGCACACAGGAGAGAAACCGTATCTCTGTCAGGATTGTGGGAAAAGTTTCCGTCAGAATTCCAACCTGGTGATACACCAGAGGACTCACACAGGAGAGAAACCATATGTGTGTCAAGATTGTGGGAAAAGTTTCATTCGAAATTCTGACCTGGTGATACACCACAACACGCATACAGGGGAGAAAGTGTATGTGTGCACACGTTGTGGGAAAAATTTCATTCGGAATTCTGATCTAGTAGTACACCAGAGGACTCACACAGGAGAAAAACCATATAAGTGTCCAGACTGTGGGAAAAGCTTTAGTCGGCCTTCCCACCTGGTGATACACCAGAAGACTCACACAGGACAAAAACCATACAAGTGTCTGGATTGTGGAAAAAGTTTCAGGCGGAATTCTGACCTGGCGATACACCAGAGGATTCACACTGGGGAGAAACCGTATGAGTGTCCAGATTGTGGGAAGCATTTCACTCGAAATTCTGACTTGGTGATACACCAGAGGACTCACACAGGAGAGAAACCGTATGAGTGTCTGTATTGTGAGAAAAGTTTCAGTCAGAACTCTTACCTGGTGATACACCAGAGAATTCATACAGGAGAGAAACCGTATGAATGTCCAGATTGTGGTAAAAGTTTTACTCGGCATTCCAACTTGATGATACACCAGAGGATTCACACAGGAGGCAAAGTGTATGAATGTCCTGATTGTGGGAAAAGTTTGAGTCGGAATTCCAATCTTATGATACATCAGAGAACTCACACCGGAGAGAAACCATATGATTGTCTAGAGTGTGGGAAAAGCTTCAATACTAGATCAAATCTTACCAGCCATATGAAGTTGCACACAGGAGAGAAACCCTACAAGTGTCCAGACTGTGGGAAAAGTTTTAGTTGGAAATCTGGCTTGGTGACCCACCAAAGGATTCATACAGGGGAGAAACCGTATGAGTGTCCTGACTGTGGGAAAGGTTTCAGTACTAGGTCTAGCCTTATAAATCATGTAGGTTTACATACAGGAGAGAAACCATTCAAATGTACAGAATGTGGACGATTCTTCACACAAAATTCCTCCCTTGCTACACATAAGAAAATCCACTTGGTGCAGAAAGTGATGGATGTAGAGAAGACATAAATTTCATTTCTGATCTCCGTTTGGTAATACAGCTGAGAAATTAAATAGTTAATTCCTTACCATATTTGATAAAAGTTAAGTGCATGTATCTGGTTATGTAAGAATTTGCTAGATATGTCGGAACTGCGCAACCGGTATCCACAGAAGAAAAGGGAGGGAGGGAAACTTCCCCTTCACACCCACAGCAACCAATCACAGCGCAGATTGCCTCACGCTAGAGCCAGTACTCTCCAACCAATCAACTATCAATATGTGTTCTGGCTGTATACAACCCCACTGTTCCAGCTACCAAATGCAAATAGCAAGATATTTAGCAGAAATTGTACAATTGCTACAAAAAGGGCTTTAGGGGTAATTTTTTTTTCCTGTTTGATCAGAAATGATCATAGAACTCCAGACTTCTTCAACCTGGGTGTCCTCCAGATTTCAAGCCCCATAAATCCCCAGCTAGCATACCCTTTGCAGAAAATAACTGGAAAGCATGGGAGGAAGATAGAGGAGGAATGCTTTCTGCGTCGAGTTATTTCTACATGTAATAAAGGCAGAATATAAATATGGTTGCATGTATTATTATTTAATAAGAAAATTTATATGGCAGCCCAACCCATGGTGACTCCAGGCGGTTGCAGCAATAGAACCCTAATACAGAATACATTGCAAATGGCAAAATGCAGGCCATAGTTGATGACATTTTGATAGTCGGGGAATTCCAGAAAGGTGATTCTTTTGTTCAAATTAGAAGTTTAACTAGGCCTCCTGGCTTTACTAACAAGGTTGATGCCTGGTGCCATTTTTGCTTGAAACTGATATTGTTTCTCCTTGCAAGGAGTTAAAGGGGAGACGTTAACTGGGATGAATGGCATATACATTCGATAAATAAAGAAATTGTGCCTCAAGCAACTTGCAGATGGGCATCTTCAGCAGAACCTTTGTTTGATTCAACATTAAAACATTTATATAGCCACTTATGTTATTTAAAACAAATTCTGGCCAGCTGCCTATCAAAAATTAACACAAAAACCATGTTATTAAAACCAAATGCATAAAAACAAAAACCTGGTGACAAATGAAGCTCCTGATGCCTCCATTTATCCCAGTGCTTGGGGGAAGGGGGGGAGGGAGGGTTCATGCAGGTGTTAAAAAGGAGCAGAAAGGCTTCAGCCCCGGGATACTCCATATTGCAGGGACTTAGCCATTCCTCTCCTACCTATCCTGGCTGGAATTCGCCATGGAGGTAGAAGAAGATCCATCATAATCCTTAATGGGGTTATAAAAAGCGATGTCACATAATCTCGCATAGGGGAATCCGGGCAGTTCCAGTTGCTATTACAACTCCAGGACCATATGGGTCATTAAGTAATGTTATGTGCTCCTGGCTACTTTCCTTCGTGACCAGAGGCAAGCTCGCCTGACCAATAACCAGCCAAGACACAGTGAAGGCCTTTTGTTTCACTTATTGCAATAAGCGGGGAGAGAAGCTATCAAAGCTTGGTTCTCTCCAAAGTTTTAACCCAAAATATTTCCTTCTTTATACATCCCTTGTCCCGGCCGCCACATCCCTCCTCTTTCCCCATTGGCTGAGGTACCATGAGGTTACACTCTTTCCGACCGCCTCCTACATATTTCCTGCTACGTACTAAATCATACATCACATGTACACTAAAATTAGGAGATAATTTATGCAAGGTGTGTCAGTTAATATCAATTAATTGCGCATGCTCAGTTGCCTGAGTTCTGGCCCCCTTTTTTATGGCTTCTTAGAAAAATAGGTTCTTTCCTGTTTTGCTAGTTATCTTCTATTACAGATATTTTCTTCTTCCTTTTCCCAACTCTATAAGACCCAGCTATTTTTGCCTACATATTTCCTTTACATCCTTACTTTGTTAACCTTTCCTCTTTCCCACCATAGCTTCTCTACTCAGAAAATTTCCACTGCAGCAAATTCAATTTTAAATTTCTCTTTCAATATTAAATTTTGAAGATCTTTCATTTACTTCTATTAAATCCTCCCTTTTGATTTTTATTACTTACAGAAAGGAGAAGGGAAGGCATAACTGTATGAGGTATTTTTTTCCAATTTCTTGTTTCTTGCTTATTTTCTATTGTTTTTGTGTGTTTTCAATATTAGATTGAATTTCTAATTTATACAAATGTTTCAGGCAGACACACATTTATGTGCACATAGATACTACCCTCCTTTTCACAACCCTTTCAAATTTTTTTTTGAAAAGTGTATTAGTTTTGTTTACCAAGTATAGACAGTCTCTTTTCGAGCTCCCTTTTTCTTGGCCCTGCTATGTACAGGTAGTCCTCGACTTACAACAGTTCATTTAGTGACAGTTCGAACTCACAGTGGCACTGAAAAAAGTGACATGACCATTTTTCACACTGACGACTATTGCAGCATCCCCGTGGTCATGTGATCAAAATTTAGACTCTTGGCGATTGGCTCATATTTATGACTGCAGTGCCTTCAAGTCATGTGATCACCTTTTGTGACCTTTTGACAAGTCAACAGGGAAGCCAGATTCACTTGACAACTGTGTTTCTAATTTAACACCTGCAGTGATTCACTTAAGAGCTGTGGCCAGAAAGGTTGTAAAACGGGGTAAACGTCACTTAACAAAAGTCTCACAGGGGCCACGAGTTCACTCTTGGGAGACCTGAAAGAAAAAGTGTGGGATAGAGCGTCATGGACGAAAGCTGTTCATGTATTCGATGGGAGTCGAATACAACTTGATCGCACATAAGGAAGCCCGGAATCAATGAAAACCTCTTGAAAACGCTTTAGGGTAGAAATAGAAGAGCGTGTTATTCCGCCTTATGTCACTAGATGGCGATCTACAAATGAGCGACACTCGGGCCTAGAAAGCCGTGAATACTGTATAGTACAGTAATGGCTTTGCTACCGGTAGTCTACTGGAAGGGTAGAGGCGGAGACGGAACGAATTGAAACGATAGATTGGATTTCTAGAGAGGATTTGGGAGAAAGACAGAGGAACTTCCTCTTCCGGCTCACCCAGGAGAGGAGGATGGCGTCGCGGTTGCCTGTTTGGCTGTTTCAGGGGTCGAAGCGGCTCCCGGGAGGTGAGTGGAGGGCAGGTCGGAGGAGAAGCCGGGAGCAAGTTGGGCTGTTTGGTTTCTTCCACGCAGCGAAGCGACGAGGCTGAAACATGTCAGCTGCTGCTGCTGCATATTCTTTCTCTCCCCAAATTGTATTCCTCTGGGGCTTCACGATTTAAAACTGCTGCCTGTGATTTTCTGCTGGAGATTTAACGAAATCTTTATTTTTCATATTTCATAACACACACACACCCCAAATCTCCTTCATCCTTCAGGTAATTATGATCAGTTGATTCCTTGTGATTTTATTCACCTGTCGTTTTCTTGCAAACGAGGGGTTTTGTGGGCAAAACGGATTTTTTTAAATCTTGCATAGGATTTGGGCACCATTTCATCTGTTACTGTCCCACCTTTCTAAAATTAGATCAAAACAGTTGAGCAAATCCACGCCTGGGACATTTTGCAGACTGAAATACACGTAGATTTTTTTATATACATAACTCTATAGGTGTGTATTTATGTGTGCATTAAGCATGTATCTCTATCATCTATATCAGCGGCCCCCAACCTTTTGGACACCAGGGACGGGTTCCATAAAGAAAGTTTTTTCCGCGGACAGGAGGGGGCGTGGTTTTGCATGCTGCCTGCATCCTGCAGATGGGGCTTTGCTTGTTTGTGTGGCCCAGTTGTTGACATGCCATGGACTGGTGCCAGTCCATGGAGCGGGGATTGGGGACCCCTGATCTATATTCAGAATTTTCAGGAATATTTTATAACAATTTGCAATGGTAACACTTCACAATTTACACACTGGCCGCCTATCAGCTGTTTCTGTATGGACTCAGGAACTAAATTGCCTGCAAGCAGGGCTTGCAGCCATTGCAGCTAAAGCACCTTCAGCTGCCAAGTGGGGGGGAGGGGCTGTTCCTTTAAAAAAACATACTTGTCACTAGCTTAAGAGGCTTTAGCCAGGCACCCAGAGGGAGATGGGGGAGGGTTTTACAGAACTCTCGGCTTGCAACAGTAACAGTGATGGAAGGGACTTGAGGTCATCTAGTCTAACCCACTACTCTCACAAGAGAGTATTTTGGATAAATGTCTATCCAGCCTCTTCTTAAAAGCTTCAGTGATGGGGCACCCACAACTTCTGAAGGCAATTTAAATTTAAAACCTACAAACTACAGTAATATACACTGAGCTCCAAAATAAAAGGAAATACAACGTAATAGAATTCTTTGTGTAAATCCTGGCTAGCATTTCTACAAATGCAAAAGACAAATGCAATCAGACTTTATCTTTGTAAAGTACTGTACTTACAAACACAGTAGTTTGCAATGTACAGTACTTAAAAAGCAGAGCACTTCCCAAAGTGAGACAGAGATAGAGTAAGAGACAGAGAGATAGCAAGGGAGACAGAGAGAGAGTAACAGAGACAGAGAGATAGAGAGTAAGAGAGACAGAGATAGTGACAGAGAGTGACAAAATAAGAGAATGACAGAGACATAGACAGAAAGATAGAAAGAGAGAGTGTAACAGAGAGAGACACTGAGTAAGAGAAACAATAATACAGAGGAAGTAATAAAGATAGCAATAGAGATAGAGCAATAAAGAGAGATGGAGAATAAAAGGGATAGAGATAAATAGAGAGATAAGGAGAGATACAGATATAATTACAAAGTAATAGGTATATAGAGATAGATAGAAATAGAGATAGAGAATAGACATATAGAGATAGATAGAAAGAAAATAATAGAGATAGTTAGATAGATAGAATGTAATAGAGATATAGAGATAGATACTTGTGGTCTATCCAAGCCAAAAAGAGATTTTTATGATTGAGTCAATATTTGAACATGACTCTTACTACTCTTCTATATGCCAAATGAATCATAATTAATGTTAGAGGTTAAAGTAGAATTTTGATGTTTTCATGGTAATATAAGTTTTTTCCTGCTTTCACATATCCTGCAGCCATTTTTTAAACCATAATGAAACTAACCCTTTGATATGAATCTTACAGACAAAGAGGATGGCAAGAAGTGTAATCTGGACAACAAAGAATGAGAAGCAGCATTAAAAATACAAAACAAATGGGGACTGGAGGCTAAAACATATAAGGAACGGTTGCTAGAATTGGGTATGTCTAGTTTAACGAAGAGAAGGACAAGGGGGGACATGATAGCAGTGTTCCAATATCTCAGGGGCTGCCATAAAGAAGAGGGAATTAAGCTATTCTCCAAAGCACCTGAAGGCAGGACAAGAAGCACCGGGTGGAAACTAATCAAGGAGAGAAGCAACCTAGAACTAAGGAGAAACTTCCTGACAGTGAGAACAATTAATCAGTGGAACAGCCTGCCTCCAGAAGCAGTAAATGCTCCAACACTGGAAGTTTTTAAGAAGAGACTGGACAGACATTTGTCCGAAATGGTGTAGGGTTTCCTGCCCGAGCAGGGGGTTGGACTAGATGACCTCCAAGGTCCCTTCCAACTTTACTATTATTATTATTATTATTATTATTATTATTATTATTATTATTATTATTATTATTAAATCATCAATCAAAATCTTTTCTACTTCCTCCAGAAAGTGTGAAAACTCTTCTCCTTCCTCAGCAGATGAGAAGCAAGGAGAGAATAACAAGAAAAAAGTTTTGAGTTGGTAAAAATAGACTATGTGCAACTCAAGGAAACATTACATGAGACGTCAAAGGGGATAATTTCCAAATAAGAACAAGTGGGAAATACCTGGAAGTCAGTTGGAAGGAAAAAGTATCTTGGATAGCTAAAATAAGCAGGCATTAATTAAAACCTTTGAGGAAGGAAAGAGCAGCTTGAATCAAAGAACCTCCAAGAGAGCAGATATATTTTTTGGCTCCTCAAGAATCCAAGAATATCAGTCTTAGAAAAAACCCACAGACTTCCTATTGTGGGAAAAACAGACTGCAGATCACAGCTAATTATGCACAAGTGGATCCATACAATGAAAAGACAAATGTTTGGAGTGCGGCAAAAACTTTATTCAGAACAGCTTCCTCATGATTCATGGAAAGACCCATTCCGGAGAAAAACTGTACCAATTGGTGCTTCCAACATGGCAAAAGATTTAGCATGCAGACCAATCTAGTGAGACACAAAGGGACTCTCACTGGGGAGAAAGTCTTTGAATGTCCTGATTGTGGAAAATGTTTCACACGGAATTATCACCTGGTGATACACCAGAGGATTCACACAGGAGAGAAACCGTATGAGTGTCCAGAATGCGGGAAAAGTTTCAATCAGAATTCCAACCTGGTGATACACCAGAGGACACACACAGGAGAGAAACCATATGTCTGTCAGGATTGTGGGAAACGTTTCCGTCAGAATTCCAACCTGGTGATACACCAGAGGACTCACACAGGAGAGAAACCATATGTGTGTCAAGATTGTGGGAAAGGTTTCATTCGAAATTCTGACCTGGTGATACACCACAACACTCATACAGGGGAGAAAGTGTATGTGTGCACACGTTGTGGGAAAAATTTCATTCGGAATTCTGATCTAGTAGTACACCAGAGGACTCACACAGGAGAAAAACCATATAAGTGTCCAGACTGTGGGAAAAGCTTTAGTCGGCCTTCCCACCTGGTGATACACCAGAAGACTCACACAGGACAAAAACCATACAAGTGTCTGGATTGTGGAAAAAGTTTCAGGCGGAATTCTGACCTGGCGATACACCAGAGAATTCACACTGGGGAGAAACCGTATGAGTGTCCAGATTGTGGGAAACATTTCACTCGAAATTCTGACTTGGTGATACACCAGAGGACTCACACAGGAGAGAAACCGTATGAGTGTCTGTATTGTGAGAAAAGTTTCAGTCAGAACTCTTACTTGGTGATACACCAGAGAATTCATACAGGAGAGAAACCGTATGAATGTCTAGATTGTGGTAAAAGTTTCCCTGGACATTCCAACTTGATGATACACCAGAGGATTCACACAGGAAGCAAACTGTATGAATGTCCAGATTGTGGGAAACGTTTGAGTCGGAATTCTGATCTGATGATACATCAGAGGACGCACACCGGAGAGAAACCATATGATTGTCTAGAGTGTGGGAAAAGCTTCAGTACTAGATCGAATCTTACCAGCCATATGAAGTTGCACACAGGAGAGAAACCCTACAAGTGTCCAGACTGTGGGAAAAGTTTTAGTTGGAAATCTGGCTTGGTGACCCACCAAAGGATTCATACAGGGGAGAAACCATATGAGTGTCCTGATTGTGGGAAAGGTTTCAGTGCTAGGTCTAGCCTTATAAATCATGTAGGTTTACATACAGGAGAGAAACCATTCAAATGTACAGAGTGTGGACGATTCTTCACACAAAATTCCTCCCTTGCTATACATAAGAAAATCCACTTGGTGCAGAAAGTGATGGACATAGAGAAGACATGAATTTCATTTCTGATCTCCATTTGGTAATACAGCTGAGAAATTAAATAGTTAATTCCTTACCAGATTCTTTTTAATCAAACATACATTAGACATGACAGAGGAGAGCAAAAAAAATTGGAAAATATTAGTTTGATAAAAGTTAAGTGCATGTATCTGGTTATATGAGGATTTGCTAGATATGTCCAAAGGAAGTCATAGACGCCAAAACAAACTTGTAGTTTTATATAAATATATATATATTACGTCTATATTTACAGCAAACAAGATAGTTAGACAAATAGGAGCATCAAATACAGCACACAGAAGAAAAGGGCTGGGGGAGGGAGGGAAGCTTCCCGTTCACACCCACAGCAACCAATCACAGCGCAGATTGCCTCACGCTAGAGCCAGTACTCTCCAACAAATCAACTATCAATATGTGTTCTGGCTCTATACAACCCCACTGTTCCAGCTACCAAATGCAAATATCTTAGCAAGAAATTGTACAATTGCTACAAAAAGGGCTTTAGGGTAATTTTTTTTCCTGTTTGATCAGCAATGATCATAGAACTCTACACTTCTTCAACCTGGGTGTCCTCCAGATTTCAAGCCCCATAAATCTCCACTTAGCATACCCTTTGCAGAAAATAACTGGAAAGCATGGGAGGAAGATAGAGGAGGAATGTTTTCTGCGTTGAGTTATTTCTACATGTAATAAAGGCAGAATATAAATATGGTTGCATGTATTTTTATTTAATAAGAAAATTTATATGGCAGCCCAACCCATGGTGACTCCAGGCGGTTGCAGCAATAGAACCCTAATACAGAATACATTGCAAATGGCAAAATGCAGGCCATAGTTGATGACATTTTGATAGTCGGGGAATTCCAGAAAGGTGATTCTTTTGTTCAAATTAGAAGTTTAACTAGGCCTCCTGGCTTTACTAACAAGGTTGATGCCTGGTGCCATTTTTGCTTGAAACTGATATTGTTTCTCCTTGCAAGGAGTTAAAGGGGAGACGTTAACTGGGATGAATGGCATATACATTCGATAAATAAAGAAATTGTGCCTCAAGCAACTTGCAGATGGGCATCTTCAGCAGAACCTTTGTTTGATTCAACATTAAAACATGTATATAGCCACCTATGTTACTTAAAACAAATTCTGGCCAGCTGCCTATCAAAAATTAACACAAAAACCATGTTATTAAAACCAAATGCATAAAACAAAAACCTGGTGACAAATGAAGCTTCTGATGCCTCCACTTATCCCAGTGCTTGGGGGAGGGGGGGGAGGGAGGTTTCATGCAGGTGCTAAAAAGGAGCAGTAAAGGGCTTCAGCCCTGGGGTACTCCCTATTGCAGGAACCTAGAACTTAGCTATTCCTTTCCTACCCATCCCAACTGGAACTCGCCATGGAGGTAGGAGAAGATCCATCATAACCCTTAATGGGGTTATAACAAGCAATATCACATGACCTTGCATAGGGGAATCCGGGCAGTTCCAGCTGCCATTACAGCTCCAGGACCAGATGGGTCATTAAGTAACGACCTCATTTGTCGGTGATGTGGGAAGAGACGAGTCCCAGGCAAGCAGAGCTGCAGGTGAGAGGTACAGGCAGGTGGGTGACCTCCCGGCCTCCTCTCCTCTGGGGCTGGGAGAGGAACTGACCCAAAAGCTTCCACAGCAGACTTCCTGGCTAGGATTTCCACTCACCGTCTGAGTTCCTAGCCTTCATCCTACACCAAAATGGCTCTCATATAACACTGTCTATTGCAATTGCCTTTTTTCTATATGGTCTATGCCTACTCTATGCTTTCATAAAGCTTATAACGCTACCTTTCCATCTTTCTCTCTCCTTAACCTCTACACGTCTCTGATCCCAATCTCCATATGTATACATTCTCTCTCTCTTCTCTCTGTCCCCCGATCTTCTAGCTGGCTACCTATCTCCATCCTTTTCCTAAATAAAGTTCAGTGCTTCTTTTATCTTTCTTTATCAGCTCCACAATACCATAGACTCTATGGTATAGAAAGAATCTCCCTATTGTTCTGTACAGATGGTGAGCAATGTGGAAGGGAAATGTTGGCCTGGATTTCTCTGAGGAATGGACTTCAGGCCAGGATCCATTTTTAAGAAGGGTTTCCTTCTGGTTAGCTGAGGGGACATAATTCCCAAACAGGAATGTATATAACAGTTACTTATAGAAAGGAGAAGGGAAGGCATAACTGTATGGGGTATTTTTTTTCTAATTTCTTGTTTCTTGCTTATTTTCTATTGTTTTTGTGTGTTTTCAACATTAGATTGAATTTCTAATTTAAAAAAATGTCAGGCAGACACACATTTATGTGCACATAGATACTACCCTCCTTTTCACAACCCTTTCAACCATTTTTTTTTGAAAAGTATTAGTTTTGTTTACCAAGTATAGACAGTCTCTTTTCGAGCTCCCTTTTTCTTGGCCCTGCTATGTACAGGTAGTCCTCGACTTACAACAGTTCATTTAGTGACGGTTCAAACTCACAATGGCACTGAAAAAAGTGACATGACCATTTTTCACACTGACGACTATTGCAGCATCCCCGTGGTCATGTGATCAAAATTCAGACTCTTGGCGATTGGCTCATATTTATGATGACTGCAGTGCCTTGAAATCATGTGATCACCTTTTGTGACTTTATGACAAGTCAACAGGGAAGCCAGATTCACTTGACAACTGTGTTTCTAATTTAACATCTGCAGTGATTCACTTAACAACTGTGGCCAGAAAGGTTGTAAAACGGGGCAAAAGTCACTTAACAAATGTCTCACAGAGGCCACGAGTTCACTCTTGGGAGACCTGAAAGAAAAAGTGTGGGATAGATCGTCATGTGCTCGATGGGAGTCGAATACAACTTGATGGCACATAAGGCAGCCCGGAATCAATAAAAACCTCTTGTAAACGCTTTAGGGTAGAAATAGAAGAGCATGTTGTTCAGCTTTATGTCACTAGATGGCGATCTACAAATGAGCGACACTCGGGCCTAGAAAGCCGTGAATGCCGTATAGTACAGTAATGGCTTTGCTACCGGTAGTCTACTGGAAGGGTAGAGGCGGAGACTGAACGAATTGAAACGATAGAGGATTGGATTTCTAGAGAGGATTTGGCGGGGGGGGGGAGAGTCCTCTTCCTCTGTCTCTCCGCGTTGCGGGTTCCTGTTTGTCTGTTTCGAGAGTCGAAGCGGCTCCCGGGAGGTGAGTGGAGGGCAGGTCGGAGGAGAAGCCGGGAGCAAGTTGGGCTGTTTGGTTTCTTCCACGCAGCGAAGCGACGAGGCTGAAACATGTCAGCTGCTGCATATTCTTTCTCTCCCAAAATTGTAGTCCTCTGGGGCTGCACGATTTAAAACTGCTGCCTGTGATTTTCTGCTGGGAGATTTAACGAAATCTTTATTTTTCATATTTCTTAACACACACCCCTCCCAAATCTCTTTCATCGTTTAAGTAACAGTTGATTCCTTGTGATTTTATTCAAATGTCGTTTTCTTGGCAGACGAGAGGTTTCGTGGGCAAAACGGATTTTTTAAATCTTGCATAGGATTTGGGCACCATTTCATCTGTTACTGTCCCACCTTTCTAAAATTAGATCAAAAAAATTGAGCAAATCCACGCCTGGGACATTTTGCAGACTGAAATACACATAGATTTTTTTTATATACATAACTATGTAGGTGTGTATTTCTGTGTGCATTAAACATGTATCTCTATAATCTATATCAACGGCTCCCAACCTTTTGGGCACCAGGGACGGGTTCCATGAAGAAAGTTTTTTTCTGCGGACAGGAGGGGGCATGGTTTTTCATGCTGCCTGCATCCTGCAGATGGGGCTTTGCTTGTTTGTATGGCCCAGTTGCTGACATGCCATGGACTGGTGCCGGTTCACAGACCGGAGATTGGGGACCCCTGATCTATATTCAGAATTTTCAGGAACATTTTATAACAATTTGCAAACTTCATGATTTACACACTGGAAAAAAAATTAGTGGAGTGGAGATTTGAATCAAAAAAATTTTTATGTGCCAAATGAATCATAATTAATATTAGAGATTAAAGTAGCATCTTGATACTTTTTATGGTAATATATGTAGGCCACTTTTAACAATAATGAAACTAACACATTAACATGAATCTTACAGACAAAGAGGACGCCAAGAAGAGAACTCTGAATGACAAGAGAATGAGAAGCAGCATTAAAACAAATAGTCAAAATATTTTCTACTTCCTCCAGAAAGTATAAAAACTCTTTCCTCAGAAGATGAGAGACAAGGGAAAGAATAACAAAGTTTTGAACTGTATGTGGAACTGAAGGAAACATTACATGAAAAGTCAAAGGGGATAATTTCCAAATTCAGAAAAAGTGGAAATAACTGGAAATCAGTGGGAAAGAAAAGGTCCCTTGGATAGCCAAAATGGGCAGGCATTAATTAAAGCCTTTGAGGAAGGAAAGAGCAGCTTGAATGAAAGTACCTCCAGGTGATCAGAAATATTTTTGGCCTCCTCAAGAATCCAAGAATATTGGTGTTGGAAATGCCTGGCAGACATCCTGTTGTGGGAAAAACAAAGATTGCAGATCACAGCTAATTATACATGAGAGGATCCACACCAGTGAAAATCCACACAAATGCTCATAATGTGGCAAAAGGTTTACTTAGAACAGCTCCCTCAGGGAAACATCCACACCGGAGAGAAGGCCTACCATTGTTCCCAATGTGGCAAAAGCTTTAGCATGCCATACCACTCTGGTGAGACACAAGAGGACTCCCACTGGGGAGAAACCCTTTGAATGTCCTGATTGTGGGAAAAGTTTCACTCGGAATTCACACCTGGTGATACACCAGAGGACTCACACTGGAGAGAAACTATATAAGTGTCCTGATTGTGGAAAAACTTATACTTCGAAGTCTGACCTGGTGAAACATCAAAGGACTCACACAAGAGAGAGATTGTATGAGTGTCCGCATTGTGCAAAAAGTTTTAGTCGGACTTCCAAACTGATGGTACACCAGAGAACTCACACAGGAGAGAAACCATATGAGTATCTTTATTGTGGGAACAGTTTTAGTCAGAATTCCAACCTTGTGATGCACCAGAGGGCTCACATGGGAGAGAAACCATATGAGTGTCTTTATTGTGGGAAAAGTTTCAGTCAGAATGCCAACCTTGTGATGCACCAGAGGACTCACACAGGAGAGAAACCATATGAGTGTCTTTATTGTGGGAAAAGTTTCAGTCAGAATGCCAACCTTGTGATGCACCAGAGAACTCACACAGGAGAGAAACCATATGAGTGTCTTTATTGTGGGAGAAGTTTCAGTCAGAATGCCAACCTTGTGATGCACCAGAGGACTCACACAGGAGAGAAACCATATGAATGTCTTTATTGTGGGAAAAGTTTCAATTGGAATTCCGAATTGTTGATACATCAGAGGATTCACACAGGAGAAAAACCATATGAATGCTTGGATTGTGGGAAAAGTTTCAGTCGAAATTCCCACCTGGTGGAACACCAGAGAATTCACACAGGAGAGAAACCATATAAGTGTCCAGATTGTGGGAAAGCTTTCTCCTGGAATTCTAATCTGGTGGTACACCAAAGAACTCACACAGGCAACAAACCATATCAGTGTGTGGATTGTGGTAAAAGTTTCCATTGGAATTCTGCCCTAGTGATACACCAGAGAACTCACACAGGAGAAAAACCATATGAATGTCTGGAGTGTGGGAAAAGTTTTATTCGAAATTCTGACTTGGTGATACATCAGAGGACTCACACAGGAGAGAAACCGTATGAGTGTCCGGATTGTGGGAAAAGTTTTAGTAAGAATTTTAATCTGGTGGTACACCAGAGCACTCACACAGGAGATAAACCATATGAGTGTCCGGACTGTGGGAAACTTTTCACTCAGAATTCCAATCTTGTGATACATCAGAGGACTCACACAGGAGAGGAACCATATGAGTGTCCAGATTGTGGGAAGAGTTTCAAGCAGAATTCCAATCTTCTGATACACCAGAAGACACACACAGGAGAGAAACCATATGAGTGTCAGGATTGTGGGAAAAGCTTCAGTAGGAATTTCAATCTGGTGATACACCAGAGAACTCATACAGGAGAAAAACCATATAAGTGTCCTGATTGTGGGAAAGGTTTCTGTCGGAATTATCACCTGGTAGTACACCAGAGAACTCATACAGGTAAGAAACCATATCATTGTCGGGATTGTGGTAAAAGTTTCCATTGGAATTCCGCCCTCGTGATACACCAGAGGACTCACACAGGAGAAAAACCATATGAGTGTCTGGAATGTGGGAAAAATTTCAGTACTAGGTCTAGCCTTGTAAATCATGTAAGGTTACACATAGGGGGAAAACCATTTTAATGTCTAGATTGCTGACTGTTTCACACCAGAAGTCATCGCTTATCGTACAGAAGAAATTCCATGAGGCATAATTTAAATATCATTTCTGATCACTCATTGCAAGCTCAGCTGAAAAATTCGCTATTTCAATTTGCCTGATTCTTTTTATTAGATATCTTTTAGTGTTAAACCTGAAGAGGAGATCTGAGTTGGGAGGTTCAAGCCCTTTCTGAGCTTCCTTTCTCCAGCACAGTGAAATTGTTCCCTTCCACACACACAGGACAGGTGAAGAAGGCCTATTATGGTGGGCTGGCAAAAAAAAAAACCCAAAAACAATAACTGCCCAGCAAAGGAATTCCCTTTTGCACATAGAGAGGAACTGCCTGCCCTCTTTTGCAGGCTGCTGTTTCACTCTGTCCGCTTGATGACCTGCATGGTCTGTTAGTGATTGCAACTTGGGAGGGGGCAGGATTCCGGCTGTCGAGAGAGGAGATCACATGGGCATCTTGCTTTACAACCACAGAGACTTAGGACCAAAATTTCGGCCCCCATTGTGGTTGTCAGTCAACCATCCCCTATATTCTATGCAGCAAAGTGGAAAGTCTCAACTTTAACCGCAATGGAGGAACGGTTGGCGAAGATGATGGACTTCCTTGAGATGAATGATTGACTTCCTCAATCGGAGAAAAGACCTTCTCTACATTCAGTGCTGACTGGAAGCTCTTCAGAGAGTTGTGTGAAACAGAAGAAAAATGAAGTTATGACTTACAGTTTTGATTGTTAAAAAAACAGGTAATAAAAAGAAGTTTTTTTGATCACAGAGTAAGAGGTCATTTTGTATTTCTAATTATGTTCACTAAGGAAATGGTAAGTAACTTCTCTGTATCTTTTCTTTTTGCACTCTTGATTTCTTTTTTGTTCTTTTATTTAGCGTATTAGTTTTTGTTAACATTATCCTCTGTTTAAAATAATAATTAAGGCAAAGTTCCCCTGACCAGTCGTGTCCAACTCTATAGGGCAGGGGTGGGCAACCTTTGCTCTTTTATGACTTGTGGACTTCAACTCCCAGAATTCCTGAGCCAGCCACGCTGAGGAGAAAGGGAGAGGTTTCCAAGCTGAGCCATGCTGGCTCAGGAATTCTGGGAGTTGAAGTCCACGAGTCATAAACGAGCCAAGGTTGCCTACCCCTGCTATAGGGGCTGGTGCTCATCTCTGTTTCTTACCTGAGAGAGCCAGTCTTGTCTGAAGACGTTTCTGTGGTCGTAGTAAAAATAATGTTTATTATTGATATTAAACATTATATAATGTTTACTTTACATAAAAAAACCAGAAACAAACATAAGCATCAAGGACCCTGGATGGAAAGCCACGCGTTCCAGTTCAGTGTTAGGTTAGACAGGAAGGTGGCTGCCGGGAGCTATGGGAGACTAATTTAAGATGCCAATCGAGAGGCAGGATGTATTTCTGGGCAAGTAGGTGGGCTGGTGGGGGATTTACAATAAGAAAAGATCCTCTTTCTTGGCCCATGATGCTACCCAGGAAGTGCTCTGTATGCCATCTTCAGTTTCTGAATGAAAAGGGAATCAATAACATTTATTTGTGGTATTAAACGTATATGCTTCCTATCTCACTATCAAAGGAGGCATGATGGTCAGCAGTTAAATATGCTGAGCATGTGAACTGGAACATTGACAGTCTGGGTTAGAGACAGTGGTGGGATTCAGCCAGGTCGCAGCAGTTCGGCAGAACTGGTAGCTAATTTTTTGTTGCCCAGGCCCAAAATGGACTTCCAGAAGCAGCATCCACACAGAGAACCGGTTGTTCACATATTTGAATCCCACCACTGGTTAGAGACCCAAACGTCGCACAACAGGATGAGCTCCTGTTACTTTCTGCAACTCCTACACACCTAGCAGTTTGAAAGCAGGCAAATGTGAGTAGATAAATAGGTACCACTGTGGTGGGAAGGTAACGGTGTTCCGTGCGCCTCAGTTTATAGCCACATGGTCTCGGAAATGTCTTTGGACAGTGCTAGCTCTCTCAGCTAAGAAACAGACATCAGCACCGCCTCCTAAAATCGGACATGACTGGGCAGAGGAAACCTTTAGGAGGAAAAAGACATGCCAAATTTTACAGGAAAGAGTGTTCCCATGGGGCAGGAGCTGCAGTGGAAACGGCTCACTTCCTGGTTCCTATCAGTTGGCAATAAGCCGAGCCGAGGTGGCGCCGCAGTTAGAGTGCAGTACTGCAGGCCACTTTAGCTGACTGTGTTCAGCAGGTCAGCGGTTCAGATCTCACCGGCTCAAGGTTGACTCAGCCTTCCATCCTTCCGAGGTAGGTAAAATGAGGACCCAGATTGTTGGGGGCAATGTAAATATATATATACATTGCTTACTGGTGTACACCGCTTAGAGAGTGCTTGCACTTAAAGCGGTATATAAGTCTCATAAAATAAATAAATAAATAAATATTTAAGCCAAGGGACTAGGAGCTTGCCCACCCTATTTGACCTGGTAGAACAGATAGATGCAGAAATAATAAAGGTGGGGCAATAATGACAGGTGCCCTAGTGGCTCAGTGGCTAGAATGCAGTGTTGCCAGCTGACTCTGCCCACAGCCTGGAATTCGATCCTGACGGAGCTCGAGGTTGACTCGGCCTTCCATCCTTCTGAGATCGGTAAAATGAGGACCCAGATGGTTGGGGACAATATGCTGATTCTGTAAACCGAGCATGCTATAAGGCATTGTGGGGTGGAACATATTCGTCTTATTGCAATCGCTATAATAAAGAAATAACTTTAAAGGTGATAACCAGTAACTTGAATTGTACCTGTAAAAAAACCCAAACCAATGCAGCTCGTATCACAAAATATGTTACATGGGCAACCTAGGGGCCTCCATAACTGTGTGCACTGCTGCATTCTGGGCCAGTTGAAGTTCCTGGGTGGTCCAGTGCAGTGAACCAAACAGGAGGTGACCATGGCATGAGTGACCCATGTGCAAGAGCTCCCGATCCAGGAAAGGGCACAATTGAATCTGCAAAGCCCCTGCCCCAACCATGGCCTCCTCAACCAGGAGCCATTTGTCCAGGAAGTCCCCCCCCCCCAAGGTGTACATCAACTCAGTCCCGGGAAGTACCAGTCAAAGATGAAATGTTATCTGGCCTGGGAAGGGTGGGGGAGGCAAAAACATGAATATTGCCAGGGTTGAATTGAATTGAAGCTGGTAATCTGCAGCACTTGGGCAGCATTGTCTATCAGTTCTGTCTGGGTGGATATACTAAATGGGGTGTCATAAGCTGGCCTTTCCTGGTGGCTTCACGTAGATGTTAAAAAGAAGCAGCAAAAGGCTTAGGTTCTGAGACACCCCATAATGCAGGGGCCTAGGAGTCAGCCACTCATACTCAAACCAAATGGAACCAGCCATGAAGTAGATCCACCATAACCCTTAATGTGGCTGACATCACATGACCACATCATCTAGTGAGGGCAAACTCAGCAGTTCCACTTGGTTTTATAATTCCAGCACTATCTGGGTCATTATGTGAGGACCTCATGTGACTCTGATGCGGGAAGAGGTTGGAGTCCCAGACAAGCAGGCCACCAGGTGAGAGCTACAGGCAAGTGGGTGGTCTCCAGGCCTACTCCTTTCTGGGGTTGGGAGAATCTAACTCGGGGGGTCTTCAAACTTGGCCCTTTTATGAGTTGTGGACTTCAACTCCCAGAATTCCTCAGCCAGCGTGCCTGGATGAGGAATTCTGGGAGATGAAATCCACAAGTCATAAAAGGGTCAAGTTTGAAAACCTCTGATCTAACTCTGGAAATTGGGATGGCTGTTCAGAAGAAATTCTGCCCTCTACTGAGATTTAGGCCTTGCAGGAATGCAGATGGAAAAATAATATCTCCTTTCTAGAGAGATTGGAAGCAATGTGGGTGGGCACTTCAAAGTTTTGTCCCGTATTTCATTCTATTAATGGGAGGAATCTGCACCTACAAACAAGACCTTTATCAATTTTTATGAGGCAACAATTTGCTAATCTTGTGAAGCTAAGTAGGGTCAACCTTCACTCTTCAAGCTTCCTTCAGTTGCAAAGGTAGTTTTGGGGGGTTATCCTGCACCCCAAGACGAAGAAGTGGCTGGAATAGTCTTCACTGATCCCCAAGGGAGGTGGATGCTTTTCCCTTCATTTAATTCTTACAAAAGAAGCTCCTGGCTCAGTTGTAGTGACGATGATTGTTGTGTACATGTAGAGGTGTAGGTCTATACTTATGTTGTATATAGTATGTTTAGGTGTGTGTCATGTATAATGTGACCAACCGTCCTCCTTTTGGGAGTTCTGTCCTCCCTCGAAAAGTGTCCTAAATGTCCTCTTTTTCTATATTTGAAGACTAATCTGCAGGGCTTTTTTTACCTCATAGAACGCTCAGAAGGCGTTCTGGGACCTTTTTTGGATGTTTTTTTTTTTAACTTTTGCATGAGCTGTGCTACTTCCCCTATTGCAGCGGTTCTCAACCTATGGGTCGCGTCCCCATTTGGGGTCGATCGACCACTTTTCGGGGGTCGCCAAAGGCGGCGATCCGCCATTTTGTCCCCTCCGGGGGCGCCGCCGCGTATGCGCGCAGCGCATGGGACCGCCGCCGCGCCTTTGGGGGGGCGCCGTGCATGCGCGCCGCGCACGGGGGCACCGCCGTGCATGCGCGCCACGCCGCACATGCGCATAGCGTTTGTGTGACGGGGGTCGCCGTCACACAAACGTTGAGAAACGCTGCCCTATTGGCTTTCGAAAGCCAATAGGAATTGCTGCTGAGTGCGCCAAAACACCCGGGCGGCAAACTTTGCACATGCAAGTTGCAGGAACTTTGCACCCCTCACTGCTACCCAACTACACCCTCTCCTACTTAGTTCCGAAGATAGCTGGAGGAGACTGGAGCAGTAAGTTTCTCTTGATCTTCCCTGTTCGGTTCTACATGGGGATGCACAGGGTAGGCGGTGGTGCTGGGGGGCGGCTGGTGTGTGTGTGGCTGCAGGGCTGGAGCTGGCACGGCTGGTGCTTTGTGAGCTGTGGGGCCAGCTCTACGGGGATGTGCAGGGTGGGCAGTGGTGCTGGGGGGCGGCTGGGGGGGGCAGCTGCAGGGCCGGAGCTGGGGCAGCTGGTGCTTTGCCTTTGTGAGCCGCAGGACCGGCTCTACGGGGAGGTGCAAGGTGGCCGGTGGTGCTGGGGGCGGCTGCAGGGCCGGAGCCAGCACAGCTGGTGCTTTGCCTTTGTGAGCCTGCGCTGCTACCACCTTGCCCTGCGCACCTATGTGGCCGTCCTGGAGCTCCTGGCTCACAACACCTACCTCCGCCGCCCACCCCCACGCAGTCCAGCCATGTAGATTTTTGGACAAGTGAGAAGTCGAGATTAAACGTTGATACTCTAGCTGCAGCACTTGCCGTAAAATTCAATATGAAGGATATTTCTTGTTCAGATATTTCCAATATATTGTTAGAAGATGATACATTGACAAAAAATATTAATTCAATGGAAAACTACTCATTTAAATAATTAATAGGCATGTAAGCATAATTACAATATAAAATGTTATTGTTACAAATATTTTTATTATGCATTTATTATATTATAGTGTATTCTGTATTATTGTTGCAATAAATACAATGTTTCTTTTATTTACGATATTTTTTTCTTCAATTTATTCATGTCCTCCTTTTTGTTGTAAAAGCGTTGGTCACCTTAGCCATGTATGTGTTTCACTTTGAGAGCGGGCAACTAAATTTCATTTTTGTTGTGTGCCCTTGTTCCCACAGTAAAAAAAAAATGACATAAAGGTTATCTTATCTTATCAGGGCTTCTCTGCAAGATAGAGAATGAGCGTATTTTCAGCCTCATGTCACTAGGTGGAGCTCTAACACAACACCAGCGCCTGGACAACCGTTGAGATTCCGACATCCAACCGGAGGGGTAGCTGCTGAGTGAAACGGAGTTAAAACCATCGAGTATTGATAGAAAGGATGTCGAGGAGAGGAGAAGGGCTGAGGATCTTCCTCTTCCTTCTCACCCATAGGAGGATGGAGGAGTGCTCTTCCCAGGCTCGAAACAGCAGCTGGAAGGTGAGTGGAGGGCAGGTCGGGGGAGAAGCCGGGAGCAAGTTCGGTTGCCTGGTTTCCTCCGCGGTGTGGAGGCAGCGAAGGGACAAGGCTGGAACATGTCGGCTGCTGCAGCATATTCTTTCTCTTTCCAAATGTTATTATCCTTGTGCTGCGTGATTTAAAACTGCTACATGTAATTTTCTGCTGGGAAATGGGAGAGACTAAAGTATAAAGGCCTGAAGACTAAAACATACGAAGAACGGTTGAAGGATCTGGGTATGGCCAGTCAAGAGAAAAGGATTAAGGTTGACATGATTGCAGTATTCCAGTATTTGAGGTGCTGCCACAAAAAAAGAGGGGGGTCAATTTATTTTCCAAAGCCCCAGAAGGCGAGATAAGAAACAATGGGTGGAAACTGATCAAGGAGAGAAGCAACCTGGAATTAAGGAAAAATTTCCTAACAGTGAGGACAATTTACCAGTGGAACAGTTTGCCTCCAGAAGTTGTGGGTGCTTCATCACTGGAGGTTTTTAGGAAGAAACTGGACAGCTACTTGTATAGGATCTCTTGCTTGAGCAGTGGGTTGGGCTAGAAGATCTACAAGGACCAATTGAGATTTGGGAAATTAAAAAAAAAAATCTTTATTTTTCATTTTTTCATAATCACCCATCTCCCTCAGTCTGGATGTAACACTTGATTCCTTGTGATTTAATTGACAAGTTTTCCTGGTAAGTGAGTTTCATGGGCAAAGTAGGTGTTTTAAATCTTGCATAGGATTTAGGCACCATTTTGTCTGTTTGTCTGACTCAAATTGGATGAAGTATTCCAGGTGTGGCGTTACTAAGTATTTATAAAGCAGTACTAATACTTCAGATGATTTTGATTCAATGCCTCTGTTTATACAACCAAGGATTGTATTAGGGTTTTTGGCTGCTGCTGCACACTCTTCATTCCTGTTTAAGTGATCGTCCACTATGGCCCAAACTCCCTCTCACAGTTATTGATTTTGAGCCAGGTTTCGCCTAATCTATAGTTTTACATTTGATTTTTCCTGCCTAGGTGTAAAACTTGGCTTTTCTCCACACTAAATTTCAGATTGTTGGGCCCATTGTTCAAGTCTGTCAAGATCTTTTTGGATCCTAAGCTTGTCTTCTGGGTTATTGACTATTCCTGCCAGCTTAGGGTCATCTGCAAATTTGATGAATTCCCCTTTTATTCCGTTATCTAAGTCATTTATGAAAATATTGAAGAGTACTGGGCCTAAGACAGAACCTTGTGGTACCCCACTGCTTACTTCTCTCCATGTAGACATACCATTAAGGACTGCTCATTGAGTATGCTTTGTCAGGCAGTTACAAATCCATTTGGTGGTGAAGCTGTCTGTCCCACATGTTTCTAGCTTAGAAAGAAGTAGGTTGTAATCTACTTTGTCAAATGGCTTGCTGAAGTCTAAATATACTATCCACAGCATTTCACTGGTCTACTAATTTAGTCACTGTGTCAAAGAATGAAATAAGATTGGTTTGATTTAACAAACCCATACTGGCTTTTAGATATAATTCTATTTGTTTCTAAATGTTCACAGATCTGTTTTTTATTTTTTTCAGTATCTTCCCAGGTATTGAAGTCATGCTGATTGGTCTGTAGTCCCAAAGGTGCTTTTCCAAGAGGCAACTGGACTTTCTTGTTTTTATAACAGAATAACAGAGTTGGAAGGGACCTTGGAGGTCTTCTAGTCCAACCCCTGCTCAAGCAGGAAACCCTGTACCATTTCAGACAAATGGCTGTCCAGTCTTTTCTTAAAAACTTCCAGTGTTGGAGCATTCACAGCTTCTGGAGGCAGGTTGTCCCACTGGTTAATTGTTCTCACTGTCAGGAATTTCTTCTTAGTTCTAGGTTGATTCTCTCCTTGGTTAGTTTCCATGTATCGCCTGCAGGTGCTTTGGAGAACAGGTTGACCCCTCTTTTATGTTATATTCTGTAGGTTTCTAGATTTCTCAGATAAAAATACTTGATTTCATTTTCCTGGATTTTTGCATTTATCTATTAAGGGCTCTCAAACTTTCTTCTATAAGCCCAAGTGAATCTCCTTAAAGATAAATATTCTTGAGTTTTCCAAGTAGAGGTGAACAAGTACTATTACTAAGCTTCTTCAAACGGGAAGCAAAAATATTCAGGGCAGAACAGACAGCAATGGGAAATTAAATTACTCACATTTACTCTACCTTCTTCCTTCTTTTAAAGGCTTTCAAAAAAGACCAGACCATTGTTTGAGCCTAGCAAATACTTTTACATGTTTTTGATCTAAATATTAATTAGTTTATTAGCTCACTGGGCTGCAATACAGCCAATATGTTACTAAATGGACAGGTCTGTATCAGATTTCTTAAGAGTTACTGGACAACTCACAAGTAATCTGAGATAAATCTCAGAATAATTCAGTAATAAATTGAATAACTTATAATTGAATAATAAATTAAATAACTCAATAAATCTAAAAAAAAACCACATTTCCTTTGAAGACATTTTGCTTCTCCTCCAAGAAGCTTCTTCAGTTCTGACAGGATGGTGGGGAATGGAAGGATTTATATTTCTTGCAGACAGCTGGTCATTTGCATTCTTTTAGAGCAGGGATGTCAAACTGCTGGCCCGCGGGCTACATGCGTCACACCAAAACCGCTCCCACCCCATTGCTGGCAATGGGAAAAAAGTCACAATACGTCGCAACACATTGCATGACGTCGTGAGTTTAACCCCCGTGTTTTAGGGAGTCCTTGAGGCTACTGGGTGATTTATCTGTGTCCTCAGGGTTACCTGAGTAGTGCAAATGCGTGTGGAGCTTCTTGGAACTGCTGAAAGGACTGTGTTGTAGACTGGACATAGATCAGCGGTTCTCAACCTGTGGGTCGCGACCCCATTTGGGGTCGAACGACCATTTCACGGGGGTCGCCAAACAACGCAGTCCGCCATTTTTTCCCCCTTTCCTTAGCTGTGCTACTCCCTTTTATTCTATTGGCTTTTGAAAGCCAATAGAATAGACTCTCTTGAATAGAGTCTAATTCTATTGGCTTTCAAAAGCCAATAGGAGTTGTCCAGGCTGTCTCTGCCCTGCTGAGCCCGCCAAAAGTCCCATTCTGCAAATGGTGCTGCAAGTTGTCTGCAGCAAAAGCGAGCTGTCTGGAAGTTTCCACCCCTCCCTGCTGAGCAACTACTAAAAATGTAAGTAAAAGAGGGCCAGGGGTGGGAGGTGGGAGGCCAGCGGGCGCAGGGAGGGTTGCTGGCGCACGTGGGGCCCGGCAGGTGCCTTACCTCCCTTGGGCTGGGCCAGATGGTGGCCCAGCTGGTGGTCGGCCTGTTCCATCTCTGCCGCTTGTCAGCTACGCCTCGGCTGGTGCAGGGGGAAGCACCACGCATGCGCGGTGCTCCCAGGCAGGGAAAGTCCTTGACTTATGACTGGTTGGGTAGTCCTCGACTTACGACGGGTTGGGTAGTCCTCGACTTACGACGGGTTGGGTAGTCCTCGACTTATGACCGGTTGGGGGTCGCGGCATTAAAAAGGTTGAGAACCACTGAGATAGATGATGTCGTATCCCTCTCTGTTGAGAGAGGGCTGTTCAATTTTGAGGGTTCCACACAGTGGGAGTTCAGCAGTTCCATGAAAAAAGCCCCTTTTGGACAACCATGACCTGGATGACAGAGAATCTTCATAGACGATTGGTCTGCAGTTTCCTGGTCTGTTTTTTTGTTTTTTATTTTCCTTTTTTTAAAGATGAGAGCCACTTCAGCTCTTTTCCAATCCTCTGATAGTTCCCCAGTGCTCCAGGATTTTTTAAAGATACGGTACAATGGTACTGAAATAACATCCGCCAGCTCCTTCAGAACTCTGGGATATAATCCATCAGGTTCCAGTGATTTATATTCATCAAGATCAGAAAGGTGTTCCCTTATCATTTACTTGCTTATTTTAATTTTTATTGTCTGTCTTTTACAGATATGTTTTTGGTAGGTTGGGCTATAGCTTCATTTTGCGTGAAGACTGATGCAAAGATGGAGTTAAGCAGCTCGCTTTCTGCCTGTTACTTCCTTGCCATCTTCTCTCTTTAGTAGACAGACTGTTTTCTTGACTTTTTTCTTGTTATTTATATGTTGAAAGAAACTTTTTAAAATTATCTTTGACTTTTATTGCAAGTCTTTGTTCATTCTGAGCGTTTGCTTTCCTGATTTCACCTTTGCAGTTTCGGGCTATCTGCTGATATTCTGCCTTTGTTATGTGTCCCTCTTTCCATTTTTTTATATGTACCCTTTTTGTCTTTCACTTTATCAGAGAGATCTTTGTGCAACCATGCTGGCTTCTTCTTGGATTTCTTCTTTTTCTTTTCAGTGGTATTGTATTGGCCTGGGCTTTTATGATCATATTTTTCAGAGTTTCCCATGCTTCTTGAGTTGTTTTCCCCTTTAGGATTTTCATCCATGGAATTTTTCTTAGGCTGGCTCTGAGTTTGTCAAAATCAGCTCTTTTAAAGTTTAAGACTCTAGCTGGATTGTACTCTATTGCTTGTGTTTGCATTATATTGAATTCCAATATGACACAGTCATTCTCACCCAAAGTTCTGGCAACTTCAACTCCTTCTTTCACTTCTTCTCTATTAATAAGAATTAGGTCCATTATACCTTTTCCTCTACCTTTTGAATGATGAAGTTGTCAGCTAAGTTGGTTAGGAATCCGTTCGATCTCCCACTTGCTACAGAATTTGTCTCCCAGTTGATATCAGCGTAGTTATGACTGTAGTATGTTTCGTATATACATGTGTTAATTGATTAGCGAAAAGTTCATCTATTTTTTCTGCTTGGTTGGGTGGCCTGTAGTATACACCTATAGCAATGTCATTTTTATCCTTTTATATTGCCCGATACGGATTTTCATCCTTGCTTTTGTGTATTTCTGTAGAGATGTAGTGATCTTTTATATATAATGCAACTCCACTTCCTCTTTTGTAGGTCTGTTTCTTTTGAACAGTTTGTATCCTTCTATCAGTACATTCCAGTCATGAGTTTCATTCCACCAGGTTTCAGTAATGGCAACTCTATCATATCTGCCTTCTTGTACTAATACTTCAAGTTCACCCTGTGTATTCCCTAAACTTGAGTGTTAGTATACAGGCATTTGAGCCCTTTATGGGTCTTGGGTATGTTTCTTATATCTCCTACTTTGCAAGTGGGATTTCCCTCCTTTCCATCACTCTCTAATTCATTATGTTTTTAGTTTTTTTATTTCTTTTTTCTCTTTACTCCCTACCTCTTTATGTGATTGGTTATCTAGTGGTTTTTGCATGAAATTAGGTTCTAAAGGTCGTGACGATTGGCTGGCCGCCCTTCTCAATTTTAGCTTAAAGCCGCTTTGAAAAGATGAGCCAGTCGTTTTCTGAATATATTCTTTCCAATTGTGAGGTTCACTCTATCCCTTGCCAGTAGCCCTTCATGTAAGTAATGCAGACCCAGCCAAAGTCCTGTTGACGACACCAATTTTTAAGCCAGTGGTTCATTTCTAAAATACTTGCTCCCTCATTGGATGTTGGCCTTTTGTTGGAAGTATAGATGAAAACATCACTTGTGCTCCTAATTCTTTATTTTCTTCCCTTGCTGTTTGTAATCTCTTGTTATTGTTTTCAGATTCATTATTGTGTCATTGGTCCCCACACGTAGGAGAAGAAAGGGTTAGTAATCCTTGGGATTGATTATTTTAGTAATGTATCCAGTTACATCTTTGATTTTTGCTCCATGGATACAATGTACCTCCCTAAATTGATAGAGAGTAATAGAGAAAGAGAGCAATAGAGACACAGAGATAGAGAATGATAGAGACAAAGAGATAGAGAGTAATAGCGACAGGGAAATAGAGAATAATACAGGTATTCCTTCAGATACGAACCTAATGGAGCCTGGTCATTAGACTCGTAAGTAAAAAAGTGCATCAAATGAATCAGACTCAATTTTACAAATTTTTAAAATCAAAATCATTAATTAAATCAAATGGGTTGCTAAATGAATGAAGAACTGACTTACTATTTCCTCCGATGGCTGTCATGTTAACTTAACTGAGACAGTTTCACTCTGGCTGCCTATCAGCTGTTTCCTGTGTGGACTCAGGAACTAAATTGCCTCCAAGCAGGGCTTGCAGCCATTGCAGCTCAAGCATCTTCAGCTGTCGGGAGGGGAGGAGGGGTCCTTGCTTTAAAAAAAAAAACTACTTGCCCCTAATTAGCTTAAGAGGCTCCAGCCAGGCACCCAGAGGGAGATAGTGGAGGGATTTGCAGAACTCTCGGCTTGCAACAGTAACAGAGGTGAAAGGGAACTTGAGGTCATCTAGTCTAACCCACTGCTCTCACAAGAGTATTTCAGATAAATGCCTATCCAGTTTCTTCTTAAAAGCTTGCAGTGATGGGGCACCCACAACTTCTGAAGGCAATTTAAATTTAAAACCTACAAATACAGTAATATAAGCCTAGCTCCAAAATAAAAGGAAACAACGTTATAGAATTCTTTGTGTAAATCCTGGCTAGCATTTCTACAAATGCAAAAGACAAATGCAATCAAACTTTATCTTTGTAAAGTACTGTACTTACAAACACAATAGTTTGCAAAGTACAGTACTTAAAAAAGCAGAGCACTTCCCAAAGTGAGACAGAAATAGAGTAAGAGACAGAGAGATAGAGAATGACAGAGAGATAGCAAGGGAGACAGAGAGAGAGTAACAGAGACAGAGAGTAAGAGAGACAGAGATAGTGACAGAGAGTGACAAAATAAGAGAATGACAGAGACATAGAGAGATAGAAAGAGAGACAATATAACAGAGAGACACTGAGTAAGAGAAACAATAATACAGAGGAAGTAATAAAGATAGCAATAGAGATAGAACAATAAAGAGAGATGGAGAATAAAAGAGATAGAGATAGAGTAATAGAGAGATAAGGAGAGATATAGATATAATTACAAAGTAATAGGTATATAGAGATAGATAGAAATATAGAGAATAGACATATAGAGATAGATAGAAAGAAAATAATAGAGATAGATAGTTAGTTAGACAGATAGAATGTAATAGAGATATAGAGATAGATACTTGTGGTCTATCCAAGCCAAAAAGAGATTTTTATGATTGAGTCAATATTTGAACATGACTCTTACTACTCTTCTATATGCCAAATGAATCATAATTAATGTTAGAGGTTAAAGTAGAATTTTGATGTTTTCATGGTAAAATAAGTTTTTTTCCTGCTTTCACATATCCACCATAATGAAACTAACCCTTTAATATGAATCTTACAGACAAAGAGGATGCCAAGAAGAGTAATCAGGACAACAAAGAATGAGAAGCAGCATTAAAATACAAAACAAATCATCAATCAAAATCTTTTCTACTTCCTCCAGAAAGTGTGAAAACTCTTCTCCTTCCTCAGCAGATGAGAAGCAAGGGAGAGAATAACAAGAAAAAAGTTTTGAGTTGGTAAAAATAGACCATGTGCAACTCAAGGAAACATTACATGAGACGTCAAAGGGGATAATTTCCAAATAAAGAACAAGTGGGAAATACCTGGAAGTCAGTTGGAAGGAAAAAGTATCTTGGATAGCCAAAATAAGCAGGCATTAATTAAAATCTTTGAGGAAGGAAAGAGCAGCTTGAATCAAAGAACCTCCAAGTAAGAGAGCAGATATATTTTTTGGCTCCTCAAGAATCCAAGAATATCAGTCTTGGAAAAAACCCACAGACTGCCTATTGTGGGAAAAACACAGACTGCAAATCACAGCTAATTATGCACAAGAGGATCCATACAGTGAAAACACAAATGTTTCGAGGTGCAGCTAAAACTTCACTCAGAACAGCTTCCTCATAATTCATGGAAGGACCCATTCCGGAGAAAAGCTCTACCGGTGCTCCCAATATGGCAAAAGATTTAGCATGCAGACCAATCTAGTGAGACACAAAGGGACTCCCGCTGGGGAGAAAGTCTTTGAATGTCCTGATTGTGGAAAAAGTTTCACACGGAATTATCACCTGGTGATACACCAGAGGACTCACACAGGAGAGAAACCGTATGAGTGTCCAGTTTGTAGGAAAAGTTTCAGTCAGAATTCCCACCTGGTCATACACCAGAGGACTCACATGGGAGAAAAACCATATGAGTGTCCAGATTGTGGCAAAAGTTTCAGTCAGAATTCCTACCTGGTGAAACACCAGAGGACTCACACGGGAGTGAAACCGTATGAGTGTCCAGATTGTGGGAAAAATTTCAATCAGAATGCCAATCTGGTCAGACACTGGCGGATTCACACAGGAGAAAAACCATATGAGTGTTCAGATTGTAGGAAAAGTTTCAAATGGAATTTTGACCTGGTGAAACACCAGAGGACTCACATGGGAGAGAAACCATATGAGTGTCTGGATTGTGGGAAAGGTTTTAGTCAGAATGCCAATCTGATGAGACACCAGAGAACTCACACAGAAGAAAAACCATATGAGTGTTCCGACTGTGGGAAAAGTTTCAAATGGAATTCCTCCCTGGTGAAACATCAGAGGACTCACATGGGAGAAAAACCATATGAATATCCTGTTTGTGGGAAAGGTTTCTATCAAAATTCTAACCTGGTGATAGACCAGAGGACTCAGACAAAAGAGAAACTATATGAGTGTCCGGATTGTGGGAAAAGTTTCAGGCAGAATTCTAAGCTGGTGATCCATCAGAGGACTCACACAGGAGAGAAACCATATGAGTGTCTGTATTGTGGGAAAAGTTTCAGTCAAAATTCAAACTTGGTGATACACCAGAGGACCCACACAGGAGAAAAACCATATGAATGTCTGGATTGTGGTAAAAGTTTCAGTCAGAATTCCTACCTGGTGAAGCACCATAGGACTCACACAGGAGAAAAACTGAATGAATGCCTGGATTGTGGGAAAAGTTTCAAACAGAATTCCTTCCTGGTAGAGCACCAGAGGACTCACACAGGAGAGAAGCCGTATGAGTGTCCGGTTTGTGGGAAAGATTTCAGTAGAAGGTCTAGTCTTATAAATCATGTAAGGTTACACACGGGGGAGAAACCATTCAAATGCCCAGATTGTGGAAAATGTTTCCCACAGAATTCGACTTTTATCAAACACAAGAAAGTCCATACGAGGTGAAATTCAATGGGTGTAGAGCAGACATGTCAAACACAAGGCCCGGGGGTCGGATGCGGCCTGCAAAGTGGTTTCATGTGGCCCGCAAAGCCATCCTGGAAACAGTGAGGGAATGGCCCCCACTGCCTTGGCCCTGGCCCAGGCCAGCCGGGAGCCAATGTACAATTTTGTGGTGGCCATCTATGCTGAAACGCATTCAGTCTTAGTTCCACAAGGCCGTCTGGAAACAGCGAGGAACCAGCCCCTGCCGTGTAAGCCCCGCCCCCTGGGTGCATGCTGGGGAGGTGTCACCCTTCGTGAGGAATGAAGAAATGCACCATCGCCTGGAAGTGGCCAGCAAATGGCCCTCACCTACTTCTCATATCATGCTTGATGAGCTCGGCGGAGGGGTTTCAGCAGGCACTGAGACTCCTCAAGTGGCCATGCCTTGGCACTTGCCCTGGTCCCACCCCCTTCTGCCAGAGACCCTTAGATCTGTCCCACTCCTGCCCAGGCCCCCACAGGTACCCAATAGGCCACACCCACCCAGTAGGCTACACCCACCGAATAGGCCACACCCACCCAGCCCCCCAAGGGCAACCGCAATGCTGATGCGGCGCTCAATGAAATTGAGTTTGACACCCCTGGTGTAGAGAAATCTTGAATTTTGTTTCACTTCTCTCCTTGGAAGCCCAGGTGAGAAACTAAGCATTTCATTTCTTGCCTCATTCTTTTTAGTCAAATATGTCATAGTATCAGACATGAGGGAGGAGATCTGAATTTCCTTTCTCTGGCCTATTGCAGTCATTTCTTTTCACTGAGTCGAAACTGCTGTGCTGAACCAGAGACAGCGAACCTAGATCTGTATTAGGTGTTATTTGGCACCTTGGGGTATTTCTACATATCATTAAGTGGACTATAAATACGTATGTATGTCTATATTTTTATTTATTATAAAAATGTAAATTGCAGCCCAACTTCCTGTGACTTTGGGCAGCTTGCAGCAGTGAAATTTAATTCAGAAACCAATAAACCCCATATATTGCAAAGGACAAAATGCAAAGCCACCACATTTAATGTTTACTTGCCCTGCAAATACAGGGCACCTCTAGCAAAGTTGATGGCATTTTGACTAACTGGGAGCCTCAAAAAGGTTATTTTTGGCTTTTGTTCAATTTAAAAGTTAACCAGGCCTCCTGGTCTTAACTACCTGCCTTCATGCCTGGTGCCGTGCTTGGTCAAAACTGGTAATCTTTCTTCTTGCAAGGAGTTAAATTGGAGAAATTTACCTCGTGGTTAGGAGCATATAAATTTAATCAATAAAGAAATGCAAAGACTTTCAGTGCCTCAAGCAACTTGCAGATGGGCAGCCTCAGCTGGGCCATTTTTCAGATTCCTCTCTTTTTCCTCTGATTTATTTAAAATATTTAGGTAGCTACCCATGTAATAACAAACTCTGGCCAGCTTCCAATCAATTATTAACTTAAAAACCGTATTAAAACCAAATGTATATAAGCAAAAACCAGGCATGAAATGAAACTTCTGATGTGCAGTCCTCTCTTTTTATCCCAGTGCTTAGGGGAAAAGCTAGATCTTCCTTGCTTTACGGAAGACTAGGAGGATAATGGCCTGCCATACATCAGGGGGAAGAGTGTCTCACAGGTCAGGCTCTGCAATAGAAAAGGCTCACTTCCTAGCTCCTGTCAGATGGCAATAGTTAAGGAAAGGGGCTAAGTGTGTGCCTACCCTATCTGACCTGGTAGAACAGATGGATGCAAAAATAATAAAAGGTGGGAAAATAAAAACAGGTGTCCTGTTGGCTCAATGGTCAGCATGCAGTATTGCCAGTTGATTCTGCCCACAGCCTGGAATTCGATCCTGACGGGGCTCGAAGTTAACTCAGCCTTCCATCTTTCTGAGATTGGTAAAATGAGGAGCCAGATCATTGAGGGCTTTTTGCTGACACTAAACAGTGGTGGCGAACCTGTGGCACGGATGCCAGAGGCGGCACACAGAACCCTCTCTGTGGGCACGCGCGCTGTCGCCCCAGTCCTAGGCCTTCAGCTGGGTTTTATAAAACTTTTTCGCTTTAGTTTAGACCTCCGCCGCTGTGTGCAAAAAAAAAAAAAGGTTCAATCAGTCAATTTCAACTTTTCGCAGGAAAAAAAACGATCTTGCAAAGTTGGAATTGATTGAACTTTTCAGTCCCGCCCAGTTTGCCATTACTACTGCAGCAACGCCCACCCAATGGGCCACACCCAATGGGCCATACCCACCCGGCACTCGACGATGCATAAGTGGGTATTGGGTTGCAGTTTGGGCATTCGGTCTCTAAAAGGTTCGCTATCACTGGCTTAGAAAGTGCTGTAAAGCATTGTGGGGAGGTATATATGTCTTATTGCTATAATAAAGAAATAGTTTTAAAGGTGATGACTTTGATTTGCACCTTAAAGAAACAAACCCGGGGCAGCTCGCACCACATGGGCAACTTAGGGGTCCCCATTACTTTGTGCACTGCTGCGTTTTGGACCAGCTGAAGTTTCTGGGTTGTCCAGTGCAGTGATCCAAACAGGAGGTTACCCATGAATGAAGACCCCATGTGCAACGCCTCTCGGTCCAGGAAAGGGCCCACTCGGTGCACCAGATGAATCTCCAAAGCCCTTCCCACAGCCATGGCCTGCCCTCGAGCAGGCGTCGTGAGTCCAGAAGGACCCCCCCATCAGCTCAGTCCCCAAAGGGGATCTCATGACCCCAATGATGTCCAGGTTCTGAGGTTTTGCTTGATAACAAAAAATACAGGAAACCAGAAATTGCCTTAAAACTTAACGTGTTTCTTCAGCTGAATAGAGACGGGCTTCTGTACAAAAGACCAAAAGCCTCAAATAGCAAAGAAAGCTTATTTTTTATAGTTACTTTGATTACATAAGCAATTCACCCAGCAAAGCTGACGCACATAAGATTAAGACTTCGCCCTTTAAGGCTGGCACACTGTAGCTAAGAAAACAGAAGTAGCTAGTATGTTGTCTCTTGGGTGCTTCCACCCAGTGGTGGCGAACCTATGGCACGGGTGCCAGAGGTAGCACTCAAAGCCCTCCCTGTGGGCACGCACGCCATCACCCCAGTCCTAGGCCTTCAGCTGGGTTTTATAAAACCTTTTTGCTTTAGGCCTCTGCCGCCGTCAGGAAAAAAAAAAGGTTCAATCAGTCAATTTCAACTTCTTGCGGGGAAAAAGAAGATCTCGCAGAGTTGGAATTGATTGATTGAACTTTTTAGTCCCACCCAGTCTGCCATTACCACTGCAGCCACGCCCAGCCAATTGGCCACGCCCACCCAATGGGCCGCACCCGACGATGCATAAGTGGGTTTTGGGTTGCAGTTTGGGCACTCGGTCTCTAAAAGGTTCGCCGTCACTACCTAAGACCATATGTTCATTCTTGGGTGGTTTGGGTGTTTCCCCAAGATACCATCTGTCTCCAGGTTGGTTTAGAACAGTGATTCTCAACCTTTCTAATGCCGTGACCCCATAATACAGTTCCCCATGTTGTGGTGACCCCCAAGTGGGTGTGGCCACCAATAAGAGGGAGTAGGACAGCTAGGGAAAAGGGAAAAAAATGGCGGACAGCATGGTTTGGTGACCCCCGTGAAATGGTCATTCGACCCCAAATGGGGTCCCGACCCACAGGTTGAGAACCACTGGTTTAGAACATTGCATGTTTCTTTGCTGTCCTTTCATGATTGTGCATTCATAGGCCTACAAGTGAGCAGAGACAGAGGGGCCATCTGTACGTTTTCACAATTGATACTGCCCCCACTGCAACTGTGACAAATGTGAGTCAATTGCCAAGCATCTGAATTTTGATCACATGACAGTGGGGATGCTGCTGTGATTGTAAGTGTGAAACATGGTCATAAGTCACTTTTTTCAGTGCTGTTGTAACTTCAAATGGTTGCTAAAGGAGGGAAATCACTTTTCCAGGCCTCTCCTGAGCTTGGGAAAGAAATACGGGTGGTTCTTGGGTTGTGGAGAGCAATTGGAACCAGAATTTCCAATGCTAAGTAGGGATGGGGTGCCAACAGGAAATACCGTGCTTGTTAGCTAAATGTGGAAGTAAAAGAAAAAATCACAGAAGTAACAAAGTGTCAGGCTTCACTGTTACAGCTCCGCTAAGTCGCAGAGGCAAGTTTCCAGGAGTTATCCTGCTCCTCACAAGAGGAAAAACTGTCTGGAAACAAGGGAGGCCCACTTTTTCCTTTCCATTTTGCACATCATTCCCCCACCACTATCTATAGGGAGCTTTCATTTGGTTTGGTTGACGTTTCTTGCAAAGGAAGCTTCAGGCTCAGCTCCAGGGACAATGGTGCACTCGTGAGACCAGAAAGAAAAGTTTTGAGATTGGTTCCTGGGATGGGGGAAGCTATAGATGAGGTCAACGGGAGTAAAATATGAAAACAATGGCACATAAGGTAGCAGAGAATCAATGAGAACATCTTCAAATGCCTTAGGGCAGACGTCAAACAAGGCCCTGGGGCCGGATGCAGCCTGCGAAGTGGTTTCATGTAGTCCACAAGCCATCCTGGAAACAGTGAGGGAACGGCAATTTTGTGGTGGCCATCTATGCTGAAATGTATTCAATCTTAGCTCCACAAGGCCGTCTGAAAACAGCGAGGAACCAGCCCCTGCCACATTAGCCTCACCCCCTGGGTGCATGCTGGGGAGATGTCACCCTTTGTGAGGAATGAAGAAATGCACCATCGCCTGTAAGTGGCCAGCAAATGGCCCTCTCCTACTTCACATACCCCTTTATGTCAGAGACCCTCAGATCTGTCCCACTCCTACCCAGGCCCCCACAGGCACTCTTGACACAAATGATGTAGAGCTGGCCATGCCCACACAGTAGGCCACACTTATTCCATCCATGCCCACCCAATAGGCCGCACACACACACCCAGGGCAACCGCAATGCTGATGGGCCCTCAATGAAATTGAGTTTGACACCCCTGCCTTAGGGTGAGACAGAATGAGCGTGGTCTTCGACCTAACATCGCTAAAGGGCGCTCTACAAAGAAGCAACACTCAAGCCTAGAAAGCAGGTACGGAACAGCGGAGGCACAGCTGTTATAAGGAAGAGGGAGAGACGAGGCTTGAAGGGGTTGAAACG